CTGCTCACACAAACGGACGGAGCAGCCACACTGCTACTGCTGCTGTTACTACTCACAACTCTTTCGACGAAACGTCACGTCTGCAGCAGTGGCTCGCTCTGGCCGCTAGGAGGAGCCTGCTGCTTACATTTGCCAAGCGCGCGCCACTTCCCCTGCGGAGCTGGAGGAAACTTAAAACGTCGTGGCGGTAGATATCGTGGATTATTTACCAGCAGACCCGTCCAATCCATCTCTCGGCGGCGCATCCCGCTTTCCTCTCCTTTTAAGCGTCGGAGTCAACGACACTGAGCTTTCGAGCACGCTTGTGCCCGCGCGCGCGTGTATACACTGACACACAGGCAAGGGCGGCTCGGGTGTTCTCTTCGGGGCAACCAAGGTGCCACAATAAGACAGCGTTTTAAAACCAGGACAGAGGAAACCGGATAAGCATTCGCCACTCAACGCACACGCGCGTCCCTTGCCAGTCCGGAGAGAGGGTGTTGAAATCTTTCCCGTTAAGTACATAACGGAGGCTGAGGGTGCCAGCAGAGTCTCTGATCCGGTGGGGAGGTTCAAATAGGCACTCTGCAGGCTCCCTTCCCACCCCACCAGCCTCTCCGGCTAAGCCACAGGTCCCTTTTCAGCCGGCTCCCCGGTCCCTCCTCCCCTGCTGCCAGCGTGTGACGCTGCCGCGGTTTTCCTTTTGGCTCTGTCTGGCCGCCCGTAAATTTACTGCAGCTGTGAAAGGACTAGCCATTTTGTCTGTCGCTCCCCTCCACCCCCCCTTTTGCTGGCAGAGAGGCAACCCAGGGTTTTAACTGCTCAGAAACAGGAGGACCCATTCACGTGAAAAGAAGCGGAGGAGGAGGAGAACAGCCCGCAGTGAAGAGAAGGATGCGCGCAGCTAGGCAGGGAAGGATGCTTAGAAATGGGTGGCTGGCGGCGATAGGCAGACGAGGCGGGGAAAGGAGGAGAGGGAGACGGCCGTGGCGGCGGCAGCCGTCTTCGCGAAAAGAAAGATTCCCCAGGAGGCTGGGGCTATTTGGAGTCGGAGACGGACTATTATACACGGGGAAGTCATGCTTGTACAGATCTAGGGTCATGCCTCTTTCACCAACAGCCCCGTCCCCAGTCCAATATTGCCACTGCTCCTTAAATATCCTTTCCGGAATCCTTCCTTGCGCTTTTACACCATCTTGGGCAAATGGACCCTCGGCCCGAATTAATGAGCGGGCTTAGAGCCAAGGCATAAAGCGGCTGCAGATCAAAAGGCTATCCTCCTCCAGAGGACACCAGGTATCCGATAATGTGCGCTATGCTTTGCCAAAGGGCTCGCTTGTACATTTTCAAGCAACCAGCCCCAAATTATAATGCATCATAAAGAAAAGCGCCCGCCTCAGCTCCGCGTCTGCGGCTGGAGACCGAGAAGCCGATTCGAATCGACTTCGAGAGAGACGCCAAACGTTAGAATCTGTGTACACACGGATCCATTGCCCCCGCCCCCGCATGTGTATTTAGAAAGCAAGGTAGCCCTTGGAAACACTGTGGGAATGGTCTACGGAGGCTGCCGTTTACAAGCCACTTACTCCGGAGCAATAGGATAGCGGTCACTCACTTTTAGCCCGAGAGCACTAGTTTCGGTGGCCATTTCCGATTGACTCTGCATTGATTTTAGAGGAAGACGTGAGGGCAACTTGGAGGAATGACTGGTGGGTACATTTCCCATCCTGTGACGTCAAACCATCCCCTGCAATCCTAAACCCCTTGCTTCAGACCGAGGAGCTTCGCTGAAGCACTACCCAGTGTGTAAGCCTATGCACGCCTACTCGCAAGTAAGCGCGTTGAGTTCAATAGAGCTCCCTCCCAGATAAAAGGGAAGCGTAGGATTTCAAGCCTATGTTCTCCGGAGAATGAGCCCAAGGGCTCGGCTTACTTCCGAGTAATAGAAGTACTGTAAAAATGACGTGAGAGCATTTAGTTGCTGAGCTGCATTTTGCACTTTGACAGGCCACTTCCTACCGCTGGCCCCTCTTTTTGATTCCGCTCCTCAAATGTAATAAATTATGCTCTGCGAGTGGGCGGGGGGGGGGGCTGGGGTGTTAGACACAACGACCCGGGAACGTCCTTTCCTTCCAGCGCGAAGATGCTTTTAGGGAGGCGAGTGGGAGCTTCTCGCGGCTCCGGGAAGTTCAAATATTAACGTGCAACAATAAGGCGCAAAAGCAAGGCAGCGTTGAGCCAAGGGAGCACCTACGTTCAGTTGCTATAGTGCAATTCCTCTGCGTAAAGGAGCCTTTAGTCATTGCGCGAAGGCAGGAGAGCCAATCGTAGTAAACAGACTCTGTCCCGCGGGGCGTCGAACCGGGGATTTCACCAGTTCGCTTTTTTTAGCCTCGCTGATCGTAATCTCTTCCACAGTCACTGCCTTCAAAGCACTTTTAAAAAAGCAAAACAGAAATCCCAACTCGGAAAGATGCTCCATTCAACTCGGCAGAACTTCTGAGTATACATGTTTTAGGCTAGAGTCGTCGACAGTGGGAGAAAAAGTTTGGTAGTCCGTCCATTCACAAGTTTCACTCCTCCCACCCCAAGTTTTAGCCAAAGCATGTCGCCCCATAATCTTCTTTGATCAGTAACTAGGATGGCTGTTAACAAGGTAATGAGCCACAGGAGCCAACTCCTAAGGGGCGAGGGGTCTTTGCACCCCCATAAAATATTTCAGGGTGCCCCCTCAAGTTGATGAGCATTGCCATTCAAATGGGGGGGGGGGTTGCGCGAGCACGCGCACTGGGTCATGTAATCGATTATGCAGGGTGGGGCTTACCTGGGGGACCCCCAATATTTTATTCAAGTTGGCACCCCTGCTCCCCACTTCTACAATTCTAGCACGGGACACTGGTTATAACCATTTAAGCACCCATATTTAAACTCGGCAACACAGGATAGCCAACGTGGTGCCCTCCAGGAGTTAAGGACTACAGTTTCCATCAGCCTTGCTCACTGGCAAGGCTGGCTGAGGCTGATGGGAGTTGGAGTCCATAACATCCGAAGGGCACCATGTTGGCTACCCTTGTAGTATGATTTTGTAATATGTTTGAATATTGCCTTGCATCGGATGGGCTCTCTAATGCACAATTATTGTTTTTTAAAGCAACAACAAAACCACATCCTATCAGATTCTTGGCTAGACATAGAGACCGAGTCAGACTATTGGTCTAGGATGATATCTACTGACTGGCAGCTCCTCTCCAGAATTTCAGACAGGAAACTTCCCCAGACGGACCTAGGTGCGGTGGGGATTGAACCTGCGACCTTCTGCTCTGCCCTGCCACAGAGCCATAGCAGGTACGCTGTTCATAGTAGCATAGGTGGCCCGTGGATAAATTCGTTCACCATATATTGTTATTCAGCGTCATCATCGCTCTGCGAGCGCTTGTTTTGTGAAATCGATTAGAAGATAAATGCTTGCTGTTAAGGACCCCCCCCCCAAGCCACAGCAGGCAGTTGGTGGAAACTCCAAGTGGCTCTCCATTGCGTATCAAAGACGATCTGGCAAAGGAAAATCAAACCGCGGGGAAAAGAACAATAAGTAAGGGAAATGTATGTCAAGTTTTCCTTGTTGGCGATGCTTTCCAGAGCAGAAAGGTACCGAAATAGGCAAAGGCGAAAGGGAAAGTCGGCAGCAGGTGGAAATTCCATCTCCACGGAGCAGCTTGTTTATTAGCGTCATGGTTTGCATTGATGACGAGAGGTGATCTCCTCGCTCAGGAGCCGCGACAGGGGAATAGTAACTTTCCGAGGCAGAGATTCCCCGGCAAGCGCCTCGGGAGTGGCAGGGCTCTTCTCTCTGCCTGAGACCGGCGCGCACGCGCGCCCTCGCGCCGAGTCGACAGGAGCGCAGGGTTCTCCCGGGCTCCCTCCCTCCTCCCTCCTCCTCCTCCTCCTCTCTCTTTGCTCCGTGACGACAGCTGCTGGACGTGCGGCACATCCAATGGGCTGCCGCCCTGGGGCTGTGACGGCGAGGCGATTGGTTGGCAGGAGCAGGTCGCTGCGCAAAAACAGAAGAGCCGAGCGCTCCGAGCTCAGAAACTGCCAGCCGAGATCGCGGGAGCTGGAGCTCGGGACGGGAGGCGGGCGGGCGAGCTAGCGCGAGGAGCTGCAGTAGCAGCAGCAGCAGCACTGCTTAGTGAATGTGCTTGCAAGCCAGCGAGAAAGAGGCAAAGCAGCCGAGGAGGAGACGGCGGAAGGAAACTGAGCGCAAAGGCATGCAAGGAAGAAGAGCTGGAGATTTAAGAGCATCTCAGCAAAGCCCCGGAGAAATTCAGGGAATTTAAAGTTTGGGGCTGCCGCTTTTCTCCCCATCCTTCCGCTGGCTGTCATATTTTTGTAGCTCTCTTTAAAAAAATGTTTTGAGAGAGAGAGAGAGGACCTTCCCCGTCTCTCATGCTTTTTTCTTCATCGGAAGGGGGCATGCCCATCGCTTCTTCCCGCAGCCTTCCGCGCTCCCGCTCCGACCAGGAAGCCCAACGGAGGACAATCTTGAAACCGACCAGTTCCTCGGGATTTTCCGTGGCTACCGCTGCCTCCAGCGCCTTTCCGGCTGCCGCGGTGCAGTGCCAGGACTCTGGGAATAAATTAAAGCGGGCTCCTGTGTCTATATAGCCACCTACCTATTGCCTCCAGTTGGTCATTTCTTGCGAAGATCACCGATGAGGTGGGAGCTCGGCTTGGCTCCCTCCCGTGCCCATCTTGGGTGATATTTCTCCCTCCCCCAGCTACCCCCACCTCAATTTTTAAATTTATTTTAAAGGAAGGCGATGGGGGAGGAAAGAGAACATGAAGGGAAAGGAATCATAAATCCTTTCTAAAGCTCCCATCAATCTCTGGCGCTCCCTCGCCTCCCTCCCTCCCCGCACAGACACGGTGTTTCTCGAAGGAGGAGGGTTTTTTTTTCTTTTCCTGGAGAAGGGGGAAGTGTTAGCGTCGGGGAGGGGGGGGAAATCTCTTTTCCCCTTTTGGAGATGGTCGTGCTATTCGTCTTTGCCTTAATCTGGATGGTGGAGGGAGCCCTTTCGCAGCTTCACTACACGGTGCAGGAGGAGCAAGAGCATGGCACTTTCGTGGGGAATATCGCCGAAGATCTGGGCTTGGACATTACAAAACTTTCCGCTCGCCGCTTCCAGACGGTGCCCAATTCGCGGAGCCCTTACCTGGACCTCAACCTGGAGACCGGGGTGCTGTACGTGAACGAGAAGATCGACCGCGAGCAGATCTGCAAGCAGAGCCCTTCGTGCCAGCTGCACCTCGAGGTCTTCCTGGAGAACCCGCTGGAGCTCTTCCGCGTCGAGATCGAAGTGCTGGACATCAACGACAACCCGCCCGCTTTCCCGGAGCCCGACCTGACGGTGGAGATCTCGGAGAGCGCCACGCCAGGCACCCGCTTCCCCTTGGAGAGCGCCTTCGACCCGGACGTGGGCACCAACTCGCTGCGCACCTACGAGATCACCCCCAATGGCTACTTCTCGCTGGACGTGCAGACGCAGCCCGACGGCAACCGCTTCGCTGAGCTGGTGCTCTCCAAGCCGCTGGACCGCGAGCAGCAGGCGGTACACCGCTACGTGCTGACAGCCGTAGATGGCGGGCAGCCCCAGCAGCGCACGGGCACAGCCCTGCTCACCATCCGCGTGCTGGACTCCAACGACAACGTGCCCGCCTTCGAGCAGCCCGTCTACACGGTCGCCCTGCCCGAGAACTCGCCTCCGGGCACGCTGGTGCTGCAGCTCAACGCCAGCGACCCGGACGAGGGCCAGAATGGCGAGATCATCTACTCTTTCAGCAGCCACATCTCGGCCCGTGCGCGAGAGCTCTTCGGCATCTCGCCGCGCACGGGTCGCCTCGAGGTGAACGGCGAGCTGGACTTCGAGGAGAGCAGCGTGTACCAGGTGTACGTGCAAGCCAAGGACCTGGGCCCCAACGCCGTGCCCGCCCACTGCAAAGTGCTGGTGCGGGTGCTCGACGCCAACGACAACGCGCCCGAAATCAGCTTCTCCACCGTCAAGGAGGCCGTGAGCGAGGCTGCCGCGCCGGGCACCGTGGTGGCTCTGTTTAGCGTGTCCGATCGCGACTCTGAGGAGAACGGGCAAGTGCAGTGCGAGTTGCTGCAGGGCGACGCGCCTTTCCGTCTGAAGAGCTCCTTCAAGAACTACTACACCATCGTCACCGAAGGGCCCCTGGACCGCGAGCAGCCCGGCGGAGACGCGTACACGCTGACGGTGGTAGCCCGGGACCTGGGCGAGCCGGCGCTGAGCACCAGCAAGTCCATCCAGGTGCGCATCAGCGACGTGAACGACAACGCACCGCGCTTCTCGCAGCCCGTCTACCAGGTGTACGTGAGCGAGAACAACGTGCCTGGCGCGTACATCTACGCCGTGAGCGCCACCGACCGCGACCAGGGCGCCAACGCGCAGCTGGCCTACTCCATCCTTGACAGCCAGATCCAGGGCATGTCGGTGTTCACCTACGTGTCCATCAACTCCGAGAACGGCTTCCTGTACGCCTTGCGCTCCTTCGACTACGAGCAGCTCAAGGAATTCAGCTTCCAGGTGGAAGCCCGCGACGCGGCGGGCGGAGGCGGAGGACCCGACGACCCCGACGTCGAGCAAGCTCTGGCCGGCAACGCGACTGTCAACATCGTAGTGGTGGACCAGAACGACAACGCGCCCGCCATCGTCAGCCCGCTGCCCGGGCGCAATGGCACGCCGGCGCGGGAGGTGCTTCCCCGCGGCGCCGAGCCGGGCTACCTGGTGACCCGCGTGGCGGCCGTGGACGCGGACGATGGCGAGAACGCGCGTCTCACCTACAGCATCGCGCGCGGCAACGAGGCCAGCCTGTTCCGCATGGACTGGCGCACGGGCGAGCTGCGCACCGCGCGCAAGGTGCCCGCCAAGCGCGACGCGCAGCGGCCCTACGAGCTGGTCATCGAGGTTCGCGACCACGGGCAGCCGCCGCTCTCCTCCACCGCCGCCCTGCACGTGGTCTTGGTGGACAGCGCCGTGGAGAGGCAGGGCGCGGGCGCGGGAGGCGGCGGAGGCGGCGCAGGGGCCGGCGGGGGGCTGGGTCCCGGGGGCGCTGGGGGCCCCGGCGGAGAGCACCGGCCCAGCCGCTCGGGGGGCGGCGCCGGCGGCGAGACATCCCTGGACCTGACGCTGATCCTCATCATCGCGCTGGGCTCGGTCTCCTTCATCTTCCTGCTGGCCATGATCGTGCTGGCCGTGCGCTGCCAGAAGGAGAAGAAGCTCAACATCTACACGTGCCTGGCCAGCGACTGCTGCCTCAGCTGCTGCTGCTGCTGCCCCTGCTGCAGCCGCCAAGCGCGGGCGCGCAAGAAGAAGCTCAGCAAGTCCGACATCATGCTCGTGCAGAGCTCCAACGTACCCAGCAACCCGGCCCAGGTGCCCGTCGAGGAGTCAGCCAGCTTCGGCTCCCACCACCACAACCAGAACTACTGCTACCAGGTCTGCCTCACCCCCGAGTCGGCCAAGACCGACCTGATGTTCCTCAAGCCCTGCAGCCCTTCCCGCAGCACCGACGCCGAGCACAACCCTTGCGGGGCCATCGTCACGGGATACACCGACCAGCAGCCCGACATCATCTCCAATGGCAGTATACTGTCCAGCGAGGTAAGGCGTCTGGCTGCCCTCGGGGCTTCTCACAACCTCAGGAGCCACTTACTACCAGGGCACTACCCGCCCTCCCTTTGCTGTAGCCCTCACTATCTTTTGCTAGACTTACAACAGGCCTGCCTTTCCTCCCTGGAACTGCAGGGGGCACATGTTGTTCTCCATACCCATTTTCCCTCACAACAACCTTTAGAGGTAGACCAGGCTGAATGATGGTCATCAAATGAGCTTCTTGGGTGAGAAGAGCTTTAAATCTAGGTCTCACCTGCTCCTAGTCTGACACCCTATTATATCTTACTGGCTCTTGAGCTGTAACAGTTACCAACTATCAGTGTTGGAACCTGATGCGCTTAAATCAGGTGGAAGTTCCAAGGTGGTCAAGTGAAGAGTAAACAAATATTTACTCATTGCCTTCTAGGGGGCTTACTCCTGAGCAGCTGCACATAGAACTCTCACTTAACTGGTTGCATATTTTTCTCTAATTATTAATGTTACTACTGGTATTACTACTGGTATTAAGTGTTACTAGCATTGACTTGCCTTATAATCTCCCTGCTCAAATGCTTACAGGTCTCCAGACTGTCATTTATTAATTGGCACTATCAACCTGCTGCTCAGTTCAGTTCTCTTAAGTGGGCTGTAGATTACTACTACAGTTGTGGCAAGTAGTAGCAGATGAGTAGTCAGCTGATTTATGCTCTCTCTCCAGCAACACATGCATTTCCAGCCACTGTACTGCCATCAAACTGCAGTGCAGCTTTCCTTCATCTGCACCATCTCTAATTCCTTCACTGTTATTTAGGCTGTAATGATGTGCAGTTACCTGGGGAAAAGCTCCACTGTACATAACGGGACTTACTTCTGTGTAGACATGCCTTGTCCACCTTCTCTCTCTCTCTCTCTCTCTCTCTCACACACACACACACACACACCCTCCTAAATATCCATCTTGCTCCATCCTGATGCAGGGCAGGCTACTTGGACAGCTCTGTGTGTTTTGAGGCACCTTTTGGTTTCAGCCAGTAAGTAGCTTCTTTTCAGAGGCAGAAGCAATTGTGCACTGGGGAGCATCTTAGAAATGGTTGCAGCCAAGCGCCCACACTATGTGCATTTGAATGAAGCTAGCCTAGCTTCTTCCTTTTCTGTATCAAAGCAACACAGCCCTGGGTCAGCTGCCAGTTTTTATTTTCCCTCAGTGCAGACCAATCCATGCATGTCAGGGAATTTTTTGCTGTTCGTTTGGTCCTTGAGTTATTTTATTGCTCCTTTCAGGAACAGCAAATCTGAAATAGTTTCTGTAATGATGCTTCTATTCAATGCAGTAAAGTTTTGTGTGTGTGTGTGTGTGTGTGTGTGTTTTAATTAAAAAGCTGCCATTTATATCTCAAAGTGCCTGCCTGTATGATTAAGGTTGTGGGGGGAGTGGTGGGGTTTCTTGTGGTTATGAACATCTAACTACCAGGCAGCAGTTTTAATTAATTCAAGAATTAAGGATTTATTAATTAGCTTTTCATGACTCTAGCAGAGTGGTTCCATATGAAGCATTTTTTGTTATAAAAGAACCATCTCAAAAGAATGCAACTGAAAGCTTCTATCAAAGCTTAACATTCTGCCACATTATGCATGTTTTGTGTTACCCTGGTGTGTAAAGAATTTTTGCAGATCACATAATCTGGACTTAACATTCTTCAATTAAAATGTGGTCTGCTGGGTATTTAATTGAGTGTATACTCTCTGTGTCTGTTACTGAGAGAAAACAGTGTTTCGCACCTTGGAGAAGCCAATGAAGAATTTTTGATAATATTTGAAAAATTGTTCTTCTAGAACTTAAGAAGAAATATTCTCCTTGTTCATCTTTTTTTAAAAATAAATAAATAAATAAATTTGTATTTGTTCTTTCCATATGCTGCAATGAAATACACAGTGGTGTTCAAATTGTAGGTTTATTATTCAGAATAAATAGTACCTCATTTGACATTTTTCACCCATTGCTATTCAATATAGGCATGGAATTCAAGAGTAATCTTTGTTTATTTGCCTTAGGGCTAATATTTCATTCCTTGCCAATGTAAGGGAAGTAAGGAACTCATATACACTAGTGATACTTGTTTCTTGGGTATTCAATGGCTTAACTATAATGCACTTATAGATCCATTATAATAATTATAGATACATAAACTGGTTTTGCCTGCAAAAAAACACACTGGGAGTTCAATTATTTTTTCTAATTATTTTTCTAGACTAAACACCAGCGTGCAGAGCTCAGTTATCTAGTTGATAGACCACGGCGGGTAAACAGGTAGGACCTCCTGATTTCCTAAATTGTGGCCCTAATTTTGCACAACCTGAGATGTATTTCAGCAAGTATGAAGGAGGACGTGGAAATGTGTTTACTGCAGATGTCGAATAATAGCTGGGGAATATAAAAATGAATTTGTTCAGACAGGAACATTAAGCAAAATAAATCGGCCCTGAATGAACACCTTTGAATTATGGCTTTTGGTGGGTCTTGCAGAGATTACCTGAAAAGAGAGTGGAATCTCATTTTGTGCTGGTCTGAAACGTGCCTCAAATACTTATGAGCCTCTCTTCAAGAACTGGCATATAGTATTGACTTCTCTGTGCAGAAATTAGCTTCCCAGTTTAAGCAAATTCAGCCAAATTATTCATAACAACTCTGTAGCACAGGCAGTGTAATAATGGCTACTGACTGTCCAGATGGATTATTAATACCTGGAAGTACAAGTTTTGTTTCTGATGGAAAGAGCTTCTCAGCAACAGCAACATCAGCAACAGCAACATCAGTGCTGTGAGTGGGAGGTCTGGCTGAGTGCAGCTCCACATGTGGCCATGTGATGGCAGAAGAATGTTTTATGACTTTCCCTTTTTCCTGGGTGTTCAAATATTAAGCGCTTTTTTATGTTTCTAGTTCTGCATTCCAGGAAGCAGACATAGTAAGCTCTAAGGACAGTGGTCATGGAGACAGTGAGCAAGGAGACAGCGATCATGACGCCACTAATCGAGGTCAATCCTCTGGTAAGTCTGATAAGGGGGAATCTAAATATTTGATCTTTTAATAAGCGAGGCAGCAAGGGCAATTACAGATAGATAAATAAATAATAGGCCTGAAAGTAATGGGATACAAAGTGTTTGTTGTCTTTTTCTGCAGATGCATGGATGGGTTTTAAGAGTGTTCCATTTAATACATATTTATGTGTGTGTGATTTTAAAAAACACACACACCACAACCTTGGCTTGCTCTTGAGAGCTACAGAGTTTTGGTATGTTAATCTGTGTGGTGGACTTTCCTTGCCTATTAGAGGTACGAAGGTACTGACACATTTGGGAGCAGGCAGAAAAAGATCGTCGGAAAAGCTGTTGAGAAGATTTCAAAGCAGTTTGCAGCATCAACTGGCTAGCAGGCTTTGTTGAGTGATGCACAAGGAGTGTGCCCCTAGGGGTTTGAATGAGAAAGAGCGAGGCAGCAAAAGAGTCATGATTGAATGGCAGTTGGATGGTGAAGGTTTGTGTGTGTACATGTGTGTGGTGATCAGTAGCGTCTCACAGGGTATCTTGAATATGTGATGCCTTGCACTTGCAGGATGCTACTTTCTATCTTGTTAACCTGGCTTTTATAAGCCAATAAGTGGGCTGCATCTAATTGTGATATTTGGATTCATGATTGTGTGGTACATGGTGATTTGATCTTCACCGGCTTCTGGATGAAAAGAGAGCATAGTCTTGTGGTGGAGCTGCTTCCACCAGTTTGAGAGGAGCAAAGATTCTTTTGGCATTTACGTGGCTGTTATGCACACCCTACAGTATTCAGTGCCAGCTGTTTCTGAATTGTCATCAGCTGAGGTCTTGGAATCCAATCTTTGCATTAAGAATGGTCAAGTCACAAAAGTTCAAGGGGCCTCCTGTTGGTTGTTACAGCCACACCGTTCAAGGTGATCCTCTGAGGAAGTGTGTATGTCTTGCTTTCCTCTCTTGCTAGAACAGCCTTCCTCAGCTGGGTCCCTTCCAAATGTTTTGGACTACATCTCCCATGAGCCCCAGCCAGTGCTGGCTAGAGCTGATGGGAGCTGTAGCCCAAACCATCTGGAGAGAGGACATGAAGGTGAATCCCACCCTACTCAATTTCCTCAGAAGCACTGAGAGACTGAGTGGAGGCTGGCTGGTTGGTTTTCCAGCCCTTTGCTCTTCCAAGTGTGTTGTTTCTTTTGCTACGAGAAGCCTGGGCGCGTTGTAAGATGGGGTTGGGTGGGGGGAGAGAGGAAAGCCTGTTCAAGGGCTGCTTTATATTACTGCAAGTCATTAATATGCAGACCTAATGAGACTTGAGGAAAGCCAAGAGCCTCTGAGCTCCCTGCTCCTTGCAGGGCTTCATGCTTAGTGAACAGAGCATCTATTTTGTGTCTGGGAACCTGACAACAAACCAGCTCTTGCCAGAAGTTTACATCGGAACACAGAGCCGCTCTCTCTCCCCCGCCCCTCTTTTCTCTCTATATATCTGGCATAAGGTTCCCCCTACCCCCGACTTCCAGATATGTGCATTTTAGGCTCCTTCCTCCTCCAAGCTACCCCTAGTTCCTTTGCATCATTTTAGAGGCAGCAGTGCTCAAGCATGATAAAATCCCCCTTTGCCCTCATCTCCCTGTCTGCTTCCTTCCAACCCCCTCCCAACACACATTTTATTGCGGTACTCATCTCTCTGAACATTTCAATCAGTTTATTCTCTCAACATAATGAACCATAATAACCAAATAGGAGAGAAAAGAATAAACATCTGTACAAAGGCCTGGAATGGAGAGGCAGAATGCGGGAATATAATCATCGTAATGCACATCAAGCAAAAAGCCATTTTAGTTGAGAAGCATCTACCAGTGTACTACACTTAGCTTTTTGTTGTTGCTGTTCTCTCTGTGTTTTTAATGGATTATCTGAAATTAGGGTATTTATGATGACCTGAGACTTTTTATCTGTTCTTGCATTGCCCTAATGCATTGATGCTATTTATTTCACAACATAGGGTCCAAACTTTAAAGGCTTCATTTTGTTTTAATCTAGTTATTTGTGATTTCAACACCAAAACCAAACAAGCTAAAATGTTTGAATTTAAACCAATTCTGATCCATTTACTTAAAAAAACACATGGTCTGTGGTATTCTTGACTTGTAGACTTGCCTGTTAAATTACAGGCTTGCGCAAATAAAGTGGAGAGGAATAAATTATATTGAACAATTTCTTTTGAGTCTAATTAAATTTTAACATTTTGAATTGAAACTTTGACTTAAGTTAATAATTGAAATAACCAGTTTTGAGAAATTACTGCTAGGCATTTTTGGCTATCACTTTTCATAAGGATTTTTGCGGTATACTCACACTGTGTGAATCCGTATTCATGGAGTGTCCTGGAATATCTCACCTTACTCCTGTGACTTTGGGATACATATATTAAGCTCTTTGATAAATGCAAGACTTTCATTTTCTTCACATAGGTCACGTTTTCCCTAGCACCCTTTCTAACAAGTGGATCCTGCTTTCACTCTCACTCCCGTCCATTTTCCTGTTTATTCTGTGAAAGAGAGGGAACTAGTTTTCTTTGAACTTCAGTAGCTAACAACGATCTAGAGGAGTGTTCAAGGGCACTATATATTTTCTCTCATATATAGATAGAGATAGATATGAATGAAAAACAACGAAATTAAACTGCATTGAAGAAGGCTCTATATACGATGCAGCCAAACAGTAATATGTAAATCAATGAATTCAGTTAAGTGTTTCAGGCTCCAACTTCATCAGTATTCTAAATATAAAAAATAAGAGGCTAAAGCTGGAATACTTAACTATCCCCGTCTTCTTATCCACTTATTTACATATACAGGTTTGTGTGCTTGCATTATTTATTTATGGATGTAGAAGTTGTTCCATCCGTAGCAAATGACCACAATGTCTTTCTAATCCCCGCTTCCACTTTTGCTTTTAAAAATAGTTCATTTTCACTCTTAACATTGTTACTACATGTCTTCTAATGCTGCTCTCTCGCTTCACATTTTGCTTGTTTTACTGATTCTGTTTAGTTTCATCTCATTCCAGAAGTGCTTGCATAATAGCACTGCATCAGTGAGCTAAAACTGCTAATAAATGAAGTCACCTGGAAATTAATAATAAAAAAAATACATAAACTCTCAAGCCCTTTTCATTTATGCCCTGTGTCTAGCATCAGGTAGAAGAAAATGCTGTAGTGTTCACTTTAGAGATGTCAGGTGTTTGTGGCAAGCTTGGAGAAAATGGTTCTTAGGGTAATGCCAGCAGGGATGCATAGCAACAGTGGACCTGGTGTGAATCCTATCTCTTGCACTGTGAATTCACTAGGTAGCCTTAGGCAAGCCATTCACAGCATCTAACTCCCCATCTTCAAATAAGCACACAGTATACTTAGGTACACCATAGGATTGCTGTAAGTGTTGCAGCAAGATCCTTGTGAAGTGCTGGAAACATTGGAAAATAACATACAAATATTAAAGGTTGTATACAGTTGATGTCCCGCAGTTGATGGAAGGCAGTAGACCAGAGAGGGAGGTGATTCCCGCTATAGCTCCCTGTGTCCCCAGGTCTTCTACATAGGGCCCACCAAAACCCTGAAGCAAGATTTGGAGAGAAATGGGGGCCAAAAATTACCTCCTTCCCCATTCCACTGACAGAAGCCTTCTGTTAGCTGATGGATACCAGTTGGTATCCTTAGAATACCACCCTTAGAATGTGCTATATACAGCTACTAAATATACCCAGATTTCCCCTTTTTCATTAAGTGTTTCAGCACAACAACCCATTACCTAATGCAACTAAGCTTAACAGTGCCGTCCTATAGATGTATAGTCATTGAGTTAAATGCTTCCAGATAAGTGGGTCTATGATTGCCTCCTTAGTACATGTAATTGAAGGAATCCCATATTATTTCCCTATGTAGAAAGGGAAAGCAGGTTGGAACAACCTCCCTATGAAGCCAGGCTACAAAGTTTGGGGCTTTTAAATGTAGTGGGGGGGGGGAGTCAGCAAGGGACATGATTTCGTGGTATCAAATTATTTTTGGTGGGAAGAAAGTGGATAAAAGTTTTTCTCACTCTCTTATACTGCTGGAACCCAGTCCCCTTCAACAAACCTGGATTTTGGAATACAGTGGTACCTCAGGTTAAGAACTTAATTCGTTCTGGAAGTCTGTTCTTAACCTGAAACTGTTCTTAACCTGAAGCACCACTTTAGCTAATGGGGCCTCCTGCTGCTGTTGCGCCGCCGGAGCACGATTTCTGTTCTCATCCTGAAGCAAATTAACCTGAGGTAATATTTCTGGGTTAGCGGAGTCTGTAACCTGAAGTGTATGTAACCTGAAGCGTATGTAACCCGAGGTACCACTGTACAGTACTTGGGAAAGACAAAAGGAAGCACTTCTTCACACATTCCATAGTGGAATGATGGCATGTGCTACTGCAAGATGTAGTGATGGCCACCAATCTGGCTTGGGACAGCTTGAAAAGGGAGGAATTTGCAGAGGATAAGGCTATTAGTCATATTCAAGGAGGGTGCCAACAACAAGGAAGATAAAATGGTCAGTGACTACTTGCCACTTGTTCTACTGAACACCAGTTGCTAGGGATCATGTGTAGGAGAGTGCTGCTTGGTTGTATTTAAGTAATTCCTACTCAAAGTAGACTCAGTGAAATTAATGAGTCTAACTTAGTTATAGCCATCAACTTGAATGGGTCTATGTTGAGTAGGACTAGCATCTTCCCAGTGTGTTTATGTTCTGCTTATGGGCTTCCTATAGACACCTGGTGAACCACTATGAGAACAGAGTGTGTCATCCAGCAGGGCTTCTCTTATTTTCTTACGTTCTGTTTATACTGCCTAAATTTCCATCCCTCTGTGTTGAATTACAGATTGTAAACTCACTGGACATGGCTTTGCCTTCTTGTACTCTGTAAAGCATTATGGACACTGATGGCTTTATACCAGTACAACATAATATTATAGGTATTTTGTTTCCTGAAAGATGGAATGGTATATGATCTAAACAAAAGAGTCCAATTCCCTGCTGTAACTCACTGAAGTATTGTGGACTAGTTATTTGATTGAGATCAATTACAGCTCAGGAAAATCATTGGACTGTTCAGTATATTCCCCGCATAAATTTTTATATTGGGGTTTTAGAGGAGGGAGGAATCTCAAGAGTCTAAAATAAAAAGTAAAAAAAAAAGAATCCAACAGGAAGAGTACAACAAAAGGAGAGAGGGGGTTGGGGGGAAAGACCCCAAAGTCAACAAATGAATCCTCATGCCGTAATTTTAGTGTAGACAATAAATTTGACACAAAGTAAGGGTGCTAGATTGTGACTTCAGGTGACATAATTGTGGTAGCTTTTGGCAGGATGTGCTCCATTAAAGAAACACTTTCTGCATGTAGAATTATCTCCTGAAGGTAAATCTTTTTAGGAGTGCATCTAGTGGTGTATGTATGCCTCTCTCTTGGTGTGTGTGTGTGGTGTTTTTTTTAATCCATGAGTAATTAAGTTCTTGGCTTCTCTTCTGAGACTTCCAGCATAGGTGCTAAGTACCACTCTCTGTGTTTGTTTGCATTTATGCTGTGTGATATGAGCACCTGTCTGCCAGGACTTGGACCTCAGCCACCACCTCACTGCGTCTAGATGTTCACGAAATAAACATACAAAGAGTACGCTGACTTGAGAAGGCTAGATTTTTCATAGGGAAAGAAAAAGGCAAGGGATCTTCTCAAACTTGAACATAGCTACAGTACAGAATTTTTTTTAAAAATGGACTTGGATTGTAGACAAAATTTATGGCTTTGCTTTTGGGCACAGATGTGAATGAAACAGGGATAGAGTGACTGTCCAGTGTGTGACTGGCTGTGCTGCAAGGATTTATGTTTAGTTTTTGTTTTTAAATCTTTCCTTGCATCTGAGCATCTTAAGGGAAATGAAAATGCCAAAATTCCAAAGGAGCATAGATAGTTATTTTTTATTTTTCATCCCAGGTTGTTCCTTGATTTGAATATCATTTTGGTGCTTTTATTTTCTGGGAAGACTTTTGTATCTTTTAGTTGTTTTCCTGTAGATGCTACCCTTAAGATTGTTCACAATCCACTGGTCTAGATTCTGTCATGACGTTACTGTAATATCTAGAAAACCTTGCGGTGACATAGAGCACAGATGGAAAAAAACATGCATGTAGTTGAAAGCAAACTTTGAAGATTACTTTTGCTGCCAAAGAGCTGGGAAGTGCCTTTTATTATTTAAAAATGTAACTGTTTTGGAGAAAGTAGGTGCAGTTGGCGGGTGGGAGGAGGGGAGGAGGAAAGAAAGTCTGGCATACTTATTACTTACAGTTGCAATTTTTAATTGGATAATTAGAGACTGATACTTTGAAGATTATTCAAAATCTCTAGAGGCTTTCTGTGCATACTTTTCTCTTTCTCCTCTTAATTTAATTTAATCAAGAAGGAACAAATCTCAAAAATGCCTAACGTTTGAGAGCAAATCATGTTATTTCATGTAAACTTGAATGCCTTATAAAGGTTTCATTATTGTGAATAGCTAGACTGCTTTAGCCCCATTGAATTCAATGGGATTGCACTTCCACACGTAGTTAAAACCTACTTCCCTGTTTAACTTCTCTTGCAAACTAGGTGTTGACTGCGGGAGGAGTTTCAAGCATACCCCTTTGTTACTTCAATCAATACTACTGTTGACCATAGTCTTTATAATCATGGCCTTTTTGGTTTCCATACCCCATGATATGGCTAGTGGCAGTGGAAATTGTTCAGAAATATAGATGGAGTGTGAGGGACAAATTGTTTGCTTGTGTTTTTTGTTTATAACAAATGAGATATACTGAGGGATATTATTGACAAGTAACTTGTACTAGTTGTTAGAAGAACCCTTTTGGCACAGTCATTGAAAATCCATAACTCTCATTTACTTTTAAAATCCCAGTTTAACGTGTAATGGAAATTTTTCCTTTTTTTCAAATTCAATTACCATTTTTAATTCAATCTCCCCCAATGTAGATTTGGCAGTAATAATAGATAAGTTAGCAGAGAGAGACTGCACATCATGTTAGATTTATGACAAAGTTGAGATGGAAGTGTTTGAGTGACTGAACATTTCCTTTATATATAAATCAATAGCAGGATTCTTGGTTTATTCAGATGTTCAGAGGAAGCAACCACTTCCTCAGTCCTTGGCAGGGCTCTTTTGCACTGAGGTTTACCAAATAGTGAACAAGCTGTGTTTTAGTGGTAAATCAACAAGTGTTAGTGATAACACCAGCCATTCATTGACTAGTTGTTTATTTCTTGCAAAATAGCTCTCCAAGTCTAAAGAAATGTATAATTACTATGATTTCTGGAACATCATATGCCACAAACATGTTTATTTGGTTTTGCTGGATTTTTGTTTGTTTGCAAGAGGAGAAGTTACCCACATTCAGTCTTTTGGGGTGGTACAGGTTATAAATGTAATGAAATAGATGGTATATGAAACCCAACCTAACACTGTAGCAGTTGCCCTCTATCCTAAAAACACACTCCAGGCCATAAAAAGACTTTTGGTGACATTGCATAAATGGAAAATGGTATTATAAAACTTAAAGAAACTGGTTTTGTGCTTGGTGGTTTTAAATCACTTATTTGAAGCCACAGCGCTTAAAATCTGTCAGTTTTATGACTGATTGTTTCTACATCTGTCTTCAGAGCTGTTACTGATAACAAAACTGCAATGCAATAGCACAATAGACACGGTGCATAACAACAATTATAATATTCCTACCACACAATGCAACAATTCATTCAAAATATATCAAAGAAAATTAAGACAGCATATAAACCAAATGTGGCCCACCAGGCCTCTGTAGGTGGTCCTTGGGATTCAGGCCACACCCCTTCCCCAGGCTCCACCCCTCACTGAACCTTCTCTGCATCCTCCTCTTGTGGTTTTACCTGTGACAATACGTCTTGCTTGCCTAGATGGATGGTGGAGTGTGGCGTGTATTGCTATACACCCCACTGGTACATGGCTCCCAGAAGGTCACCCTTGAGATATTGTGGCCCTTGGGTTGCAAGAAGATTCCACATTCCTGGCATAAATTACAAAGAGGCATATGACAAACTGTGAAAATAACCCTAAGGCAATGAGATTAGTATCTAGCCACCCCCTTCCCCAACTTCTGTCCTTCTGTCATCTTCTGATAAAGCCTCCTAAGGCAGGAGAATGGGGCATAGCAGGTGGAAGCAGACATTCCCTGATGGTAGATACGGTCTCTCTTTCTGTAAAGTAGAGCACAAAGCCAAATCTTGTTTCTTCCTCTAAAAGGTTTTCATTATTAAATATTACATGAGAGTGACAGAATGTGCAATCCTAAACACACCAGTTAGGGTATAGGTCTCATTGAATACAGTATGACATGCTTCAGAGTAAACGTGCATAAGATTGCTAGCTTGCCATAAAACTACATTGCAATCTGATCTGGAAAAAAAACAAAAAACACCCCAGAGCCAATTCAATTCCCAGACACTGAGCCATTCACAATCTCTCTGTTTACTGAATCTATGCATCACCAGCTGTGCTTCTATTGCTCCAATTCTAGGTCATTATGACACCATGAAGAAACACCTGTTAGAAACCATTTGGTAAAATGTCACCCTGTTATAGACTGTTTAAAAATGGGAGAATGCACAACTTGAATTAAAGTCTGCATTTTTGCCAGTGCAATTTCTAAACCAGAATCTTCATTTCTCTTTATTGTATTGTAGGATGTAATGGTCTGATCATTTCAGTCTTCAAGGTTTGGGTGGGAGAGACATTTTGTTTCTCCTATTGCTAAACAATTGGGATTTTGTTGGCTTTATGCTAGCAAAAACACATTTGCTAGCACAAGGAGAGCCACCCAATTTTCACTACTGGATTTGGCAGTAGAAGTTGGTGGAAACCGGGTCTTGAAGAAACACTTTTGGTTGTGCAACCTGCCATTGGCTACAACCCTTAAATCCATGCTTGCCTAACTTACATTGTGTGTGTGTGTGTTAGGATGTGACTCAGGCAAAGTTTAGCACCTGAATCACAAACATTATACCCCTGGGAGTAGGGCCCATTGAAATCATAGTAGTTTTTCTGAGCAGAACAGCATTTTAAAAGTTCCTGTGGCTGATATCCAACATTAGTCATGTTTTGGGCAGACCCATTGAAATCAATGCACGAAAGTAACTTCAGTCCGTTGTTTCAATGGGTCTATTCTGAATGTCACTCGGTTGGATAGCACCTGTTATTATCAGTTACCTGATGACATGGGAACTTAAAGTGCTTAACTAGGGTTTGATTATACCTATTTATAGTAGCTATTGTATAGTTTCCTATTTTGCATTATACTATATTATTGCACAGCATTGTACAACATGTTTAATTCACTGCATTTAGCAGCAAAAATCAAAGGAGTTTACAATTTCATAGATGTTTCACAACTGCAAACAGGTAGTTTTGAATTGGGGGAGGAATGACCTAGACAAGGAATATAATATAGTTTTACTTGTTTTCTCATGTCTTTGTGTCAGTTTCCAAAACTGAAATTTATTTTCAGAAGCCTTTCTGAACAAATACAGAAATTGTGACTGTAATGAAGCTTGAAATCCTTCTGGATAATATTATGACTTATTTCTTTATATTTGCTTCATTTTTTATGAAATATAAATGTTAAGCTATGTTTTAAAAATCATCTTTGCAATTGCAATATCTGCTGGAAAGTTACTAGTTGGATTTATTATATAAAGAGAGGAATATTGCTGGAGAAATGTTGAAAATGTCTCAGAATGCCTTTTCTGTCCACCCCTTTTCTTTACCATTGTGTCAGCAAAGAAATAAGCTAGCCATTTATTTAACAAACCATTTGTATGTCTCGGATGCTATTCCTCCCCTAAATCTTTAATCCCAGCTGCCGTTCACGTTTGCATTCCTCAACAGCTCACCGATTAGTAATTTACTTCCAGACTTCTGCATAGCAATTATCAGTAGAAGGTTACAGTCAAATCCAGACTTTGTATTGCACAAAGCTTAATTTAAAATAAAACTGTCATTATAAAGTGAGATTAATCTTGAGACAAATCCCCTTGTGTTTCTCTAGTTATCAAGCACTTGTTGGTAATTGGGTGGGATACCTTATTTGCAGAAAATTTGCTAAGACACTGCTTCTACTTATAAAAGCTGCAGCAGAATTCTTAATATGAATCTTTGCTTGGAGGGTAGTGTGGGTGGGGATAGCTGATACTGACTTAGGACAGTGGCTACATAGTCTTTTCTATCGCATTAAAAATAGTAGACATTTCTCATCAGGAAAATGTAATCTGTAGGAACCAGCTGCCATTCCCGAATCCTGACACAGAGGAGCTGTACACTTTAAAGGTCTTGTGGCAGATTATTCCTTTCTCTGCAGTCCGCAACCTGCCAACTGACTTGCAAGGCTGCCATGATGCAATGCCAGTGAGTCTTGGCTCTAGGTTTGGGAAATGACGATCTACGGCTTACAGTGATGAACATCTGATGGTGGCCAGGCTGTGTGGATCATTTTGTTGGTGTTGAACAGTATCTTTAGTGTTAATGAGTTTTGGTGTTTTGTTGGAGCGGTAAGCTTTGTGTTAGGGAAGGGGGGGGTGATTTTATTGCTGTTGTTGTCCAGCCAAGTCAACACGAGGCTTTCTTCCACTGTTACATGTACAAATTCAGCTCTAAAACCTTTCAGTTCTTTCTCCAATCAAAGCCATGAAAAACAACTTTTGACCACTGAATTCTTAAGCATGCAGTAATATCACTCTTGAGCAAACATTGGTTATTCCATTCCACTCTTAACGACTTCAGCTATCACTGCTCCTTCGAGAAACCTGTCCTAGTGCCTTAAAGGAATCAGTCTATTGAAATGCCTATCGGAAGATAGTCTCACTTGTCATTTAGAATTCTAATAGCTTTAAAGGATTTGTAAGCAAACAGTTTCATGTTGGCAGGGACCAGTGTTTGCTGGTATAGAGTAAGCATTAACACGTTTGTCAATAGTATCTGGATCTGTGTCGCATCAGGCTTCAGCTACCCTTAGTGCCACTAATTAGAGTAATTTCACAATAGACTTTTTTTTTACAGCTACTAATGTGGCTTAAGGGACTGTAAAGGAGATGGTAGCAGAAAAAATAACTTGGAAGAAATGGTGCCAAAGGCTGGCTCTTTTAGGTCATGTTCCTTCCTCCAAAATAAAGTCCTTAATCTTTAGCCTATCTGTATATTGACATTTTCCACTAGCCGAACAAGTGGAATTTCATTCCACTTAGTTACATCCGTTTCTCATCTTTCCTCCCCACTATGCCACCCCTTTCGTGTCATACTAATCCCTTGTTGACGATTGTTGGGATCAAGCCGCTCCCATTACCATCAAACACAGTGGGACCAGCTCCCAGATAGCTTGATGGAGGAAGTTCGCAAGATTTTATTATATATATAATAACAATCTTTCCTGTCATCTTATGCTTGCTTTGCCATTTGTGGAGCGTTCTAGCACTTCCTTTCTTTTTAAATGAAGGTGCTGTCTTTTGAAGACTGAATGATCAGATTCTTTATTGGGAGAATGAAGGTGATGAAAAAAAACACCCAACTCCTTTTTGATCACCATACATCTATCAGCAGCTGGTCATGATGCTGAAGATTATATCTACAGTTTTTCTCTCTTTCCTGCTTGTAGGCATGGATCTCTTCTCTAATTGCACGGAGGAATGTAAAGCCTTGGGCCACTCGGATCGGTGCTGGATGCCCTCTTTTGTCCCTTCTGATGGACGCCAAGCTGCGGATTACCGCAGCAATCTTCATGTGCCCGGTATGGACTCTGTTCCAGACACTGAAGTGTTTGAAACACCAGAAGCCCAGCCAGGGGCAGAGAGGTCCTTCTCCACCTTTGGCAAAGAGAAGGCCCTTCACAGCACTCTGGAGAGGAAGGAACTGGATGGACTGCTGTCTAATACACGAGCGCCTTACAAACCACCATATTTGAGTAAGTACTGTTCAAAAGGCTGCTAGAGAGTTTTCCCTTGATGGGAATAAAACTCCATTCCCCAGGGTGCTTGCTAGGAATAGAACAGTATACCAGAGGCAATGGGGGGAAGAAGCCCTGAATCCCTTTGGATTAAGAACCACTGAAGAGAACAATGTTGATATATTATTATTATTTTTTTAAAGAAAATGCCTATGGCATTTTAAGTTTGTAACTTATAGGACCTTGTTGAAGATGGATTTGTTTTTTTAAAATGCTGTTTTTGGAACTGTTGCCCTAATGAATTTTTTAAAAGTAAATAGTTAGCAAGACAAGTATTTCCTCACATTTATAAGCTGTTTGTGGTGCTTCTTCATTGGGACTACTTGTGGTACCAAACTTGTTTTGTACCCAACAGCTGCTTTGTTCCCCATTGAGCAAGGCTTGGCATTCATTCTCCGATTCATATTTCTCTGCTGCTGCTGCCATCGCCTTTTGTTCTCTTGACCATCCTTCATGGGATGAACTTTTAACAATCTTTTCTGGAGCTTTCTGAATTCTTGAGACCATTGTAAGTATGATGGTGCTTGTGTGTGATACAGAAGATGGTGCACAGGGTTAGGTGAAAGAGGAGAATTCCTTATTCATTTCCGTGCCAAGTGGAGTGCCTTGAAATCACTCTTTGGCCCCAGATTCTACATTGCGATGCTTACCGGCCCATTATGTTTTATTAGGAGATCGTAAAGTCTTCCCTTGATTATAAGTGCTTAGGATGAGTCTGTGTGTCTGGAAATGAAGAAAACCAGTGCCTTCATTTAGGAAGTGCAGCGGCTGCAAAGGTTGCAGGGATCTTTCTGAAAGAAAGAAAAGCAAATCTAATTGATGAGAGTGGTAATGTCACCATTGAAATGCAATATAGCAGTGCTTCCTTTTCTCAGTTCTGCCCTCCCCTCCCCAGTTCTGTCCTAGAGGGATCCCATCTTAAAGCGGGAATTTATGCTTTATTTATGCTTTATTTTAGCTTTTAGACTAAGAAGCCAGACATAGCAGAAGCTTCTGATTCCAGCTTTGTATATTTTAGTTTCTAGCAGCTGATGTTAAGGCACATTACTTGTTCCAAAAAGAAAAAGAAAAAAGCTGAAACACCATCTGGTTGTACTTCTTGTACCTGCTGAGTTACCTTTGAACTTAATGATCTAGAGGAGGATTGACAGATCTTTTTTTCACTGTTCAGCAGATCAGCCATTCCAAGTGCACCCTTCACTCTAGAGATACTACTTCAGCCATGCATTCCTAATAACCTTTTCATGATTCTAGGTCATATGTTTCAGACCTGTAGCATTGTACATTTCTTTAAGGTGATGCCTGAGCTTGTTCAATTAAGGTAGTGTATCTTTTTTCTTCTAATGGCTGAAAATGAACAGCAACTTTGCAGTGCCAAACAGCTATAAGATGTTTATCATCCAAATTCAGCCTGTTCCTGTTGCTTCTGCCTTTTTAAATCATAGACCAATCTGCATAGCTGCCCCTCTAGTTTGTTTATTTTCTCATAAGTTGTGATGTACATTTGAAGATTTTTAAGCCTGCGCAATGTGTTGGTAGTATCTGAAAGACATTTAAAGGGGAATAGGGATTCAGGGCTGGTGTTTTTTTTTTTTTGCATCTAGACTTCAGGCTAAAGCTATATTAAATCTAAAATCAGACAGGTTTTCCCCTACCTGCAATTAATGTTTTCTTTTGTATAAAGTTAGGTTTGGAACTTCATAACAAGCAAGAGCTATTTTAGAGAGAGAGAGAGAGGTAGGTGAAAGAGAAGAAACCAGCTACTGAAGAGCACGATGTTTCATAGAGTTGAGAAAATATTTTACAATGAATAATTTCTTTTTTGAACACAACAGAGAGAGAGAGCCTATTCTCAGTTGCAATTCTAAGAGAAGCAACCAAGTTTATTCAAGTGGTAACTAGAGTCGAGCTATAGTGACCACAGGCTAATTAAGTTTAACATTCTCTTGGGGCAAATTATGCCCCCAAAAAAGTATCAAGGAGCTGTTGAAAGCTACAAAGGCGATTTAAAACAAACAAACAAAAAAGCTAATTTAGAAAACTCTTAACAGAGCAAGGTATGCTACCCTGCAGCTGGGGGAGAGAGGGCAGTCATACTTGACCCTACAAATAAAATGCCTATTGTTTAAATTGTGTCATTTCTTAGCTTCAGGATGGGAGGAGAGAAATATATTATTTGCATATTATTAAACAAGTTTAATTATTCAAAGGATAAAGAACAAAGCAATCCTAGAAACAGAATGGATAAAGTCTAGAACTTCAGTCTGTATTTCCACTGGAACTTGTGACTCAATTAATTTCCCAAGAAGCCAGTTCCTAGGATTGAGGGAGAGCTGCCCCCAAACTCACACTTCCTGTGCAGAAGCCCCTGGGTGTGCTTGAAAATGTTTCCCTGAGCAGCCTTTGACATGGGAAACATACATTTGGAGAAATGATAACAGGGGTTGGGGAGGGGGGCAGTGCAATAGGCAGCAGCTGCAGACTTAATCCCATCATGAAAGCTCAGGGATAGTGAAGCAGAGCTGGTGAATGGCCTGAAGAGAGTGTTTGTTGTTGAAGAGGTTGTGTGGCATGAGGAGAGCTGTAGGGCCATATAGAGAGGTTTGAGAGACCACATTTGGCCCATGGTTTCCCCACTCCTGTGATAGCCAAAGAATGTATATGTAACCAGAAATGTTAAAGCGGCATATACATTCTGCACCGCAAAACTTCAAGATGCTAAATGAAGCTTTACAGAGTAAGACAGGAATATGAAGTGGGTTAGTGAAAATCACAGCTAACTCAATAAAATATAGCATATATTTCACATAACTAATAAATGCCCAAGCCCAGCAGTTGTGTGTTTAAAAGGTAGTTGGAACAGCATAAAAATAATTTAGTTTAGCAGAGATCAACTCATAAGATTAAGCAGATTCCAAAGTAGCTGTTATGACAGTTGCATTCATTTTATCTGTTCATGTCAGGTAATTAAGAGGCCGCATCTGAGAATAAGAAGTCAAGTGACAAAGTGCTGGAACATACTAACACATTAAATAAAAATAAGTTGCTTATACCAGATGGTATTCATCCAACCGTTGCATATGATTTTCAGGGGGGGAAGTTGACTTTATTTCCAACAGAAATAGTCCTGTCCCTTGTTCTAGATAAATTAAACTTCGAAAATGTTTCAGTTTGCAATACTTTATAATTGCTGTGGTTATCAAATCTCATCCATGAAGAATGGCACTACTAAAAATTCAGGAGACGTCATAAGGATTGAGAGACATGAAATGTCTAAGAGAAGAGTAGTCCTTTTCCTATCTGGCAACATCTGTAAAGACAAAATGTGGGCAAATGGGTTTGGGGTCATACAGATGCAAAGCACAATTCCTACAATGATAAAGTCTGTTGAAGCAGAGAGGACAGACAGCAGAAAGGGTTAAAGGACATGAAGTGGAAAACCAGATGGAAATAGAGTGGGAAAGGGGACAGTAATGAGTGTATAAATGGCAGGGAAGTTGTCCCCTTCGCCCATATGGACAGAAAGAATCTTGAGACTGTTACATATAATTTTAGCTCCAGATTGCAAGTATCTAGATAATAACGGTATGTTGTGGAAGCTCTGTAGCTCAGTGGTGTGCAATCAGTTCCAACATCTCCAGCTAGGGTTATGAAACTCTCCTGTCTGGAGCAAATGTGATATTTATTCTTTTGGAGTTATTTAATGATACTAAAGAGTCAAAAACCAAGTAATGGGATTCTAAGATTGGACTGAGACCAAAATGGAAGTTCTGTGAACTTACCTCAGAGGCAAGTCCTATTGAATGGGACTCTCTACAGTCACTAAAAGAGATAATTAATCATGGCAAAGACTTGAGACTAGATGTGCTGATCAATAGCTGGCTTAAAAAAGGTTTTCAGGTTGCTTGTCCAGCCTTTGGGAAAAGTGACCAAAGGGTGCTTTATTAGACTCAAGTTGGCATCTGCCTATAAAACTTGAGATGAGGAGCTGATGCTAAGTATTTGATACAGCCTTGGCTCTGGTCTGTTCAAGTCAGGTAGAATGTAATCATATATTGAAAAGCCTTTCTTCTTCTTCTGCAGCTGAAGAGATAGGAAAGGTTGCACTCCAGGTGTTGTTGAACTACAACTCCAATCTGCTCTAGCTAGCATGGCCATTGGTCAGGAGTGATTTCAGTTGCAGTCCAAAATAGTGGCGGGCACCAGGTTGGGAAACTTTGAGTTTAAGCATAGGCTGAGCCTTTCCAGATCGCCCGTCTCACAGCCGCCACATGTTTTGAAAGCCACTCCTGAAGGTCAGTGCCCCTCTGCAGTTAACGAGGCTGCAGTTAAAAGCGAGGATAAAGAAAGTATTTTATAATTTGTGATGGCAACAAGCAGAATCCACACAGGGCTTTTATTTAAAAATCCTCTGTATTTGAACCAAACCCTTGCTGACTTCAGTGGGAATATTATGCTACTCAGACAAAACCACATAATTCAGATGTTATAACCACAGCCTGTAATTTGGCCATGGATAATGGCATGGTCAGAAAAAACTTTTGAGAAGACAAGCTTTCAAAATAACAACTCATGTAAGTGTCTGGACCATATCAGGATGCAAAAGAGACCTTTTACTATGCCAAATATACTATGTGCAGAATTTCCCACATTTAGTCCACCTGCATTTTGAGATATTAAACCTATAATTCTATGCATACCATACGTAGCAGAAGCAAGCCCTATTGACCATGCTGAGATGTTCTTCTCAATAAACATGCATAGGACTGCCTGCAGTTCTAAAAATCACTGCTTTTAACTAAATAAACTAATCTTTTTTCAAAAAAAACCAAACAAACAAATTGAAAAAAATTTCCCCATACCAAACTAGTGCTGTTGTTCATTTTTATGGGTTGTAATAATGTGATCTTGTAAAAATCATTTATTAAACTGTTATAATGTATGAAAAGATTTTCTATCTCATATTTTATCTCTTGTTAGTAATCTTAAGGAAGCAGTTACTTGCCCTCTCAGAAGGTCATAGCCATGGGATGGTTGGAATAACGGGCAGTGAGGAAATAGTTATGTTGAAATATCCTGAAAATTAACTTCATTTTGGGAATAAAATTACATATAAATAATATTTATTCCATGAATATTTTGAATTCCGCTCAAAAAGAACAAGAAAAATCAAGAAAAACAGGAAGGGGAATATATCCACTTTTCTAGTTTTAAATGTATGATTGATAAAGCAGCTATTTTATGCAGCTATTGCAGGAGCTGCTTTGTGTGGTAAATATGCTGAAGAGAACTTTGCAGTATGATGTCTCTATAAAATGCAGCAAGGACAGAGATGATTCAGTGCCATTTGCGTAGTACTTTCAGCCACAATGACTATAAGCTTCTTTGCAAAACCAAGAATAGATAATGTTAGTTCATCACCAAAAGGTGGAGAAATTATATATGCGCTAATAGTTCAAGAAACCATTTAGTTGTACAAAGAAACTGAAAATTAACAACTGTATTAGGCAAACCAGAAATATCACAAAATAGCATGCCAGCTTCCACATTCTCCATAACTCGTGGTCTGACAGCTTGCCATCACCTCTGTAAATTGGCAAGAATGATTTTAGCATATTATGGATTGTTATGGTTGTTTTTCGGAATTTCAGGTATATATCTTACTGAAAAATGGCACTGCACCACAGTTTTGAGATAGTACTAAAATGAGGCTGTCATAATGATTTCATTTACTATAATTCATGCAGTGGAGATCATAACTAGGATTTGGAATAGTTGCTCTTAATTTGGGAGAACATGAGTTAACAGGGTAGAACAGCTAGAAATTTTTAATCATTAGCATTACTGATTCTTACTGAGCATTCCCCAACCACATAAATACCATCTTTATTTGTCCTTTCTGCTTGGAACACCTTCCATGGAGTATTAAATCCGTTGATCTCAAGGAGGTGTACAGTAGAGCTTCCTGTTGCAATGTTTTTCTTGTTTTTGGATCTGTATGATAAGGAGGAAACCCAGCTGTTAGTAGTTAATTTATCTCTCAGCAATATTTTCTAGGTATCATATTTTTAATTTGTTTAATTTGTTATGTTTTTCCTAATACTCTGCCACTAATATCTTAAGGTCCCTGGTTCCAAAACATCCACCTTCATTTAAGAAGACTTCCTTTCAACTACCTTCGATCTGCAGAAGAAGCAACCGTATGAAGAGCAGAGAATTAAACTAGCTCTTGGAGAGGCCCCTGTTTATGCATGCATAGGAATACAAGCTTGCATTGGACAAATCGGTTGAGAGAAAAAAATACTGTGAATGGGTTATGATTTGTAATCAAAGAGATTTAGTTGTCCTAAATCTGAATCCAAACCTTCTTCCCCTGGTTTCTGTTATTCAAAACTAGATTTCATTTTTATACCAAAGATAATAGTTACACAAACTTAATTAGCAAGGGATGTTATCATAGTGGTAGAACATGTGCTTTGCATAGGTTAAATTCCTGGCATTCCTTTTGTTTTTGTTTTTAAGGATCAGGCAGCAATAAATGTGAAAGATCTCTGGAAGAACTTGAAAAGCTGCTGCCAGTCAAATTAAACCAGGCTTTGTCACGCTGGTGCCCACAGATGGTTTGGACTAAAACTTCCCTCAGCTCAGCCAGTAGGGCTTCTTGGAGCTGATGGGAGTTGTAGACAAAAACTGCTGCAGGGCACCATTTTGGCAAAGGCTGCATTAACCAATGCTCAGCCAAATGGGCAAATAGTCTAACCATGTAAAATTCAGTTTCCTATGTAATCACCATATAAAATACTTGTGTTAGTTTTGGTTAATAATGTTCTGCAGTAAATCATATAGGGCTATGCTACTGCTCATCTGCGGGAAGGTAGTGGTGAGGAACACACAATAATATTGGAGGCATAGTGATTGAGAGCAGCCTTCTCGAAATGTAAAGCAGAAGATATATCTATGGGGTTAAAAGCACAAATGAAAATAACATTCACTCTGCCATAAGTGTGTATTTAATTTATGTACCCGTAGAGAAAAATGGAAAAGGATGTATGTAGTGTCAAAACTAAAAAGGAGAAAATGAAGCTTATCTATCTAAATGACTGCCGACGCTATTTTAGTAAGAACAAAAATAGTTAAGTGCTACATTATATAATGGAGAACATGAATAAGTCAGGACTAAAGTCTTCAATATAACAAAATTGTTAGGTTTAACATGCATTACATTTGTCATTCATCTACCATGCATTTTCTATTCTGTGGCTTGCTTCTGATCCACATTAAAGCCTCACTCTCATGACTGACATGTGGGCTGTTGTGATGAGCATGTTATGCAGGCGATTGTGCCTGAGTTAAATGTATTTTAGATCTGGGGCATTCAGGGACATTGTCACAACCAAAGATACATTTTGTGCCCTATCCACCCACCTGGCTTGTATCATGAGCAACTGCTTCCCATAATTGGAATTAAATATTCACACACATTGCAGTTTCTTGGCAAACATATTTGCATACTTGAACTGGCGTTTTGATTTATTTTAAAGCAGAAAATTCTCAAAGCAACTTTGTTTCTGTGAGGGGAAAATGGAAGGAACTGCATAGGTTTATCATGAAGAAGAGAAGACCAGGAGAGGTGAGGGGAGGGGAGAGAGAAAGGCAAAGTTGACTATGCAGCAGCAGCTTGCTGGAGTGAGGTGGTGGAGAAGTCTGTACTGTGTAGGTGCATCAGCCAAGCCAATCCGGCACTCTCAATAAACCCACCACTGCACCCATTTCTCTCTTCCTCCTGCTAAGCTGTAGCGACCCAGCTGTGGGAAGGTCAGGTATATGGCCATGCCTCTCTCTGCTGGTCTTCTCAGACATGTTTAGTCATGTCTGACTCTTAGTGACCCCATGGACCAGAGCACACCAGGCACTCCTGTCTTCCACTGCCACCCGCAGTTTGGTCAGACTCATGTTGGTAGCTTTGAGAACACTGCCCAACCGTCTCGTCCTCTGTCGTCCCCTTCTCCTTGTGCCCTCAATCTTTCCCAACGTCAGGGTCTCTTCCAGGGAGTCTTCTCTTCTCACGAGGTGGCCAAAGTATTGGAGCCTCAGCTTCAGGATCTGTCCATCCAGCTTCAACAGATAGCAACCTTCAAATACCTGAAAGGCTGTCATACCTAGGTGAAGTCAAATGGGTTTTTTGCTGCTGCCTCAGGGGAAAGGACTAGATTCAGTGGATTGAATTTACAGGAGAATGGTTTTCAGAAGAGTACTAGGAGAAATGGTAAGAGAAGTTCAATGATGGAAGCAGATTACTGAGGGAAGTGGTGGGCTCTCTTGAAAGGAAAATTCAAATGGAGACTGTGCAGCCATTTGCTGGGAATGCTCTCTAGCTCTGGATTTCCTTCATCTTGCAATGAGATGGACTAGAAGGGCTACTGGATTCCCTCCATTTCTGTGATTCTACAGCAAAACATTTTTAATCAATCTATCTGGAATACATTAGGAACTAAAGCAGAATCTAATTAAAAGGCAGGAGGGACTGTTTGAATGTGTTTTTGGGAGGGGGGTTATTGGTTTGTTTTTGTTGCATTGTGTATTTTTGTATTCTCATTTTATGTTTTTCTATTGTGAACCGCCCTGGGGATCTTTTGATGAATGGCATTATACAAATTTAATTAATAACTACTATTACTACTACTATTCAGCACGTCAACATGTCCCCAGAAGTGGTCCAGAAGCCAATTCAGCTGTTGTAATAGGGGACTCCCAAGCATTGAATGAGTTAGCACCCCAGCTGCCATGTTCTGAACCAACTGACAACTTCACATAGCATACTATACATTGCATTTGATGTGGTTACTTCCTGGCTCTGATCTGGCACTCCAAGCACTTTTTTTCACCCACCCACCCAGAACATACCAATTTGGGCAGAAACTGGCACAAAAAGTCAAAGTAGGCAAAGCACTTGGGAATTCTAATGGAGATGCAAATTGTCCCCTCCTCAGTCATCAGATTGACCTTATGATGAGCAGGGTGGAGACAGTTGTCCCATCTACAGTTTATCTGCATGGATCAGAAAAAGAGAGGAGAGGCTATATGCCTCTCTGTGTGTGTCCCTCAACCCATAGTTAGCAAGTGACCCATGCAAAGCTGGCCAAAGGTGAAAGTTGCCGTCAGGTAAAATTTTAAAATACCAAGCACCTTGTGTTGCATTAATTATGTGATTAGTAATTGCATCATTATTGTTAAACCAACAAATACCAGGAAAGGGAGGGTGGGATGGGCCTCTTCCTGCATTCCTTTGAGTGGAAGGGTGGAATATAAATTTAATAAATATTTTACCACAGTTTTAGCCTGTCAAGTCTCCCAAGCAAACACAGAGACTTAGGTGCTGCAGAGATATTTGGCCCATCATTTCTTAATTTAGTACAGAATTTAATGTATTTAGCAGAATTTAGCTTGGACAGAATGTACATTAAATCGCTTAAATATGCCAGGTGGCTATGTTTTCCTTTCCTTCTTGGTACTTAGTACCCTCTTTTCCTCATTTGTGATTTTACAAGAAGCAAAATGAATTGATTTCTTTTATGTAAACTGCCTTTAAATAATAAATTATAAAAAGAATTGAGTTGTTTATATTTGTAGTAGCCTGTCCTTTAACAAAGATTCAGAGTTGTCTGGCCCCTTTTGCCATCTTAAACCCAGGAGGCAGTAAACATTTTGTTAGGCCTACCTGTATGGGGCACAGAATCTACAGCGTTAAGTTTGCCCAATTCCAAATCAAAGTCATTGTGTCAGTACCTTTTTGTAGTTAAATAAAACAAGAGCTCAGAAATATAGCTTGCGGTAACAAAGCACACTAATTGTTGTTATGATGGCCTAGTGTCAGCGATGAAGAGGATAACAAGTGGCCTATTTCAGGCATAATATGACTCATCAGTGACTTAGACATTGCAGTGAAGAGTATGCTAATCACATATTTAAACAATACAAGCTTGGAAAGGATTGCAAATCTTTTGCGGAATGCAATTAAGTACTCTATAATCTTGATAAATTAGAAGGACGGGCTGAAATTTGATAGGATAGCACTTCAAAACACGATATAATTGCTTTGCTTTTGAACACAAAATCAAAGACCAAAGCGGATAAAGAAGTGACACAAAAAAAGAAGAAGAAAATAAGGACGTGTAACTCAAATGTGCAGAAGTCTAAGGAAACACTGGCTGGATTATGATAATGCAGTTATCTGAAGATCTGTGCTGTAATAAATAACAGCCAGCATGGATGGAAAGCATCATTGTGGATATGTGAACTCATTTTGTACCTTTAAGAAAAGGGTGCATGCAGGTCCCACCTGCAGCATCCCTGCCAGAGACCTTCCCGTGTTGAGTATGGGAGCCTTCAAACTTCCTCATTGTGCAGTGGTACCTCTGGTTAAGAACTTAATTCGTTTTGGAGGTCTGTATTTAACCTGAAACTGTTCTTAACCTGAGGTACCACTTTAGCTAATGGGGCCTCCCGCTGCTGCCGTGCCGCAACCGTGCCATTTCTGTTCTCATCCTGAAGCAAAGTCCTTAACCCAAGGTACTATTTCTGGGTTAGCGGAGTCTGTAACCTGAAGTGTCTGTAGCCTGAAGCGCCTGTAACCCGACGTACCACTGTATGGAAGGTCATGCAGGAGCATTGCAAGAAGGGTTGGCACATACGTCCTTCAGGCACCATGCCTGAACCGGGTTGATGTTTCCTGCAGATTAAAAGAAGAAAAAAGGAACTTGCAGCATGAATAAAACTTGGGTGCTAGACAGAAGGATTTGCTAAAACATTCTTCTTGCCATGTTAACTTTCCATAAGCAGGGATTTTTAAAATGCATTGAAATCACTGACACCATCAGTACCGGTTGCATTTTAAATTGGTTACTGTTCTTGGAGGAGTGCACAACATGGTTTCCCCCAAATATGTAGATCTACTCTTTGCTTTTTCATTTCATTCCCCCCAAGTGTTAGTGTTTATTTCAGAAATTGTATTTTAAGTTGATAATTGAATAGGGCAAGAATTGATTTGTTAAGACTTTTATCACATTACGTTTGAAATTGGGCTTTTATAGCACTGTAGTCCATGTATCCCTGCAAAGCTGCACCTGAATTGATGCTTCAGATTGCCTGGGGTGGGGGAGGATTTTTATGTGGCCAGATGTGTGTGTGCTTGTGGGGAGGGGAAGAGATCAGAGAAATGTTGGAGGGTATGTTTCGATCTTCTCTGGCACGACTGCAATGGTATGTTGGATCCATGCCAATTTCCAGCAAAATATAGAAAAAATGAGAGACTCGTCTTTTGATGTGCATATATTATTCAGTTAACCCTTTGGGATATATTTTCACTGTTACTGAGCGGCAAACTTAGTGCTGCAAGGAAAACGTCACATTTCCATTGTAAAATGCAGTGGGCTTTACTTTAAGAATATAGGTAACATAGCAGGACTATGGCTGGACACGAGATGGCTATGAATGTTAGCTTTTCCAGAACTTTTCTACTGCATCTGGAGAACAGTTTGGTGGAGTAATCAGATGGTTTGGCGAGCTAGCCCTACACATGAAGAGGAAGAACTTCCATTGCTGTAGATGATTTCCAGGATACAAGTCTATTTGGAGAATACCCACTGACAACCCAGGTCCAGAGGATCAACTCTGAAGGGAATGGTACACCTTTGGGTTGCTTCTTTTGGATGTGACAAGGGCAAGGACACTTTCCATGAGTTATTGCCAGTAGGTGGTCTTACTCCTATGTGACAGAGTGGAGCAGTTGGCGGGCCAGGGATGTGAGTTAACCTTTCCTCTTTCAACTGCCTTGTCATCCAAAGGTCCAACCACATCCTTAGCCCATTTCCTGCTTTAATGTATTTAGATTTCTTGCTTGCTTGCTTGCTTGCTTGCTTTCCCCTCATTGACTGCTTACATTTCTTTTGCTAAAATTTGTATACATTTTCTCATTTGGACATGACTTCAATTTTCTGAAGGAAGCCTTCTTTCCTCTATTAGCTCCTTTGAGTCTGCTAGTTAACCACATCAGCATACTGTTGGCCCTGGTTGGACCCTTCTGGATCACCACCTTAGATTGACTAGATGGAATAGCTGGAGGGCCTTTTTTTCAGCTGCCCATGCCAATGGAGGCTAAAGAAATACTGGTTTCATTGGTATCTCAACCTTCTTCTGCATCCTTGTGGCAAAGATTTGTGTGCTTTGACTGAAATAATCTATATTTAATAAATGGTATAAAGGAAATAAAGCAGAGATGATGACATGTTTATTGTACAAACTGGAATTTTATATTGTATATGTGTATCCCTATATACATAAAAATGTAAGGCGGTCACCATATAGCCCCAATTGGAGGATTTATAAAGAAGAATATGGTAGGATGGTGGCTTCATAACTGGCAGAAGTTGAAGAGGGTTCTTAGTAGCTGCAATGTGTGTCATGGGTCATAAGCAGGAACTCCAAACACAATTTAGTACATGTTTTTGAGTATTTGTGGCCTCTTTTAATGGGCAGGTCCTGTAAAACCCGTCTTTTATTTATATGCATGAATTTTTAAAGTTTTTATTTGTTTGTTTTCATGTTCATACTGTGTTGTAAGTCACTTTGAGTCAATTTTGAGCCAAGTCAATAATATTATTAATAGCAACAGCTTTATAAATAATGAGGGCTTGTGTCCCCTCCCGCCCCCAATATGTGATGGACTGATAATTCCAAGGGGCATAACTGTAGTAGTATGTCCTTTGGCATCTTCAATGAGAGAAGGTAGACTGAAGTGAAAAATCTCAAGGGCCCAGAAGGGAAAGTGTCATGCAGGCATGTTGGCTTGAAATCTGGACAGCAGGGCTGGTCTGCCCATGAGTCAATGTGAAGCAGCTGCCTTGGGTGGCAGAAATTTCATGAGAACTCACACAAGGTCTCACGAAATTTTGTCAGAATACATCATCGTCATCACTGTTTCACAGGCATTGTAATCCAGGTAAGGGAGACTGCAGAAGTGGTGCAGCAGCACGTTCTTGTTTTACCTCAGGCAGAAAAATGAGATGCATCACCCCTGCTTGACAGACTGCTGAGATGGTAGGACATGGGATTGTAGGATCTGGGAACATGAGGAAGATGTGGTGAAGGTTGTGCAGGTTGGTTGCATATAACCTGTGTTGTTTACATTGGGGGAATAGAGTGGAAGATCTGCATTTAGGGAAAGGGTAGGGATGATGCTACATGAAAATGTAGAAAAGCTATGCTAATACATTTTTATTTAAATCCTATGCCCACCTATCTGAGAGTAAATCCCATCAAACTTAGTGGGACTTAAGTCTGAATAGATATTCATAAGATTGCACTCCAAGTTAATTGCAGTCACATTTATCTCACTTCTAGAAAGTTTCTTTAAGCTTTTCTTTTAGCAGGTATTTTGAGCAGTTATATGCAAGCTTGGCAATTAGTTAAACATTGCCGCTAGTTAGAGAGATCTTGAATATGTGCTAATATGTACTTAAAGAAGTCAGCACAACAGAAGCACTGAATAATCAGTTAAAGCCTCTGAAAGCATGGGATAGCTGTCGCAAGATAATCAACATCAGAGGCTACATTTCAAATACAAATGTACAGTAATATATCAGTGTGCAGTAATTATTTGCGATATACTGTTGAGTTTGTGGTGTACTTTATGGAATGTGTAGCATGGTCAGGATAATTGTTTATGTATTTCTTTACACAACTTTTTCCGTCCCCCGGGTGTTGAAAATTTAGGAATAGGTTGAAGTACATTACTTCACACTACTGACCATAAAAAACCTAACATTTTATGCTGCTGCATCTGGAATATCAGGATCAGATTTGTCTCATTCATATATATATATATATATATATATATATATATATATGCACACACATACATACAGTGGTACCTCTACTTACGAATGCGACCCATTTTGGGGTGCCATGCACACCCCAAAAAGTCCATAAGTAGTGTCGCTATTGTGCATGCACAAAGCGCAATAGAGCACTTCTGTGCATGTGCGAAGTGCGCAGATTGCTTCTGGCGTGCTCGCGGGGCGAAACCCAGAAGTATACACTTCCAGGTTTGCTGCGTTCGCAACCCGAAAATCCACAACATGAAGCGAACGCAACCAGAGGTATGACTGTGTGTGTGTGTATTCACACACACACACACACACACACACACACACACACAATTATATTCTAAACATTAAATGCTTGCTTAATTGTCAAGAGCTCTCCTAAGGGAAATCAGTGGTATTAAGTGTTTGAAATGAATGCATATGAATGCATAGAGCAATGAATATTAACTCAGTAGCAAGTTTGGTGATGCTTAGTTGCAGGTAAGTGTAGATTAGATTTTAGCCCCAGAATGCAGTTCTTACAAAAAGGCTAACATAAAGAGGACTTTTTGTCCTGTTATCAGAATTCTACTAGATTGCCTGAATAACCTAGACTACCAGACTCATCTAGACTGCTAGGACGTATTCTGTGCTGGAATTGACGAAACAGTCTGTCTGTCTGCCTGCAGAATTTGGTTCATAACCCTTTTTAGCAAATTCGCTTGATTGCTGGTCCAGTATCCACAAATATGCTCTGACAGAAAAAGTGACCTATTTGCATTTAGATGAGCCATCTGCCCCATTTTGATGGTGGAGGTAACAGCATCAGCATCAAAGTCATTTTGATGGATAAAAAGCTCTGAATGGTTAGTGCTATGTCCATCAGTGCCTTTTGCATCCCTGCTTATGTTTGTATCAGTGTCACCAAAATGGATTTGAGTTGATTTGGGCAGCAATATTACACACGCACTTACATGCAGCAAGATGAAGGACAGGGTTTTATTCCATAGCTTTTGGGTGTGCTTTTTTCATTTTTTTTGACCTCTTGAGTATGGACAAAACCACTGGTACACTGAATAGAGATGAAATGATCTGTTGTATTCATATATTTATATAGATGAAAGCAAGGATGTTTGTTGCAAAGGGGGAGAAAACAGCAATTACTGCAATCATTGTTTTATTGCACAACCCAGAGAGCTGATGCTCACAGCTCTCATTTGATTTTTTACACAGCTTATAAATAATTGTACATGTCAGGGTGAGCATTGCCAGCTTACTTTAGTTTCATATGTGACTCTTGGACTTTATTCTCAGCTACTTTGGAAGCCACGTGACAAACTAGATGTTTGCTAGACATGTAGCATGCTGCTGCTAAGAACCTAGTTTTTTTTCTTAATTACAGACACAGTAGGTCAACCCTTATGGGGAAGGCAGCTCCTAGGGAGGTACGGCTTATATCTCACCACCTCAGCATGATTAGAGTGAACCTCCACCCCCTACACGTAGCTAGGAGCCTTAAGAATAATGCTCCCCTTTGTGTCAGTGGGGTCCTTTTTTAAAAAAGACTCCTAACTGTTTAGGTGGGTAAAGAGTTTAACTCCAATAACGCAGAGGAAGGATGCAATATCCCCCCTTCCCATATGCAGCCTTTTCAGTAAGTATCTCAGTCCCCACTTTGTTGTTGTTGTTTAGTCGTTTAGTCATGTCCGAATCTTTGTGACCCCATGTACCAGAGCATGCCAGGCACTCCTGTCTTCCACTGCCTCCCGCAGTTTGGTCAAACTCATGTTGGTAGCTTCAAGAACACTGTCCAACCATCTCGTCCTCTGTCATCCCCTTCTCCTTGTGCCCTCAATCTTTCCCAACATCAGGGTCTTTTCCAGGGAGTCTTCTCTTCTCATGAGGTATTGGAGCTTCAGCTTCAGGATCTGTCCTTCCAGTGAGCACTCAGGGCTGATTTCCTTCAGAATGGATAGGTTTGATCTTCTTGCAGTCCATGGGACTCTCAAGAGTCTCCTCCAGCACCATAATTCAAAAGCATCAATTCTTCGGTGATCAGCCTTCTTTATGGTCCAGCTCTCACTTCCACACATCACTACTGGGAAAACCATAGCTTTAACTATACGGACCTTTGTCGGCAAGGTGATGTCTCTGCTTTTTAAGATGCTGTCTAGGTTTGTCATTGCTCGTCCCGCTACCTATAACTAAATAAGAAAAAATAGCTGCATGCTGTACATTTATCAAATACTTAGTTTGAACCCTATGCTATGCCAATGGTGTGTAACAGACAGAGCCATGTAGGTGCCTTGAATGCTAGAAAACTTGAGTACAGGTGATGGCAAGGAGTATTGGTTATATGGATAGCTCACATGCTCAGAGGAACATAGGATGCTACCTTGGACCAACTATCTCAGTACTGACAGTGGCTCTCAAACAGGAGTCTTTTCCAGCTCTACTAGAGATGTCAGGAGATCTGTTACCTTTTGCTTACAAAAGCATGTGTTTCACCACTGAACTGCAGAATATTAATTCTCAAAGTTGTTTTTTTCAAAACAAACAAAACCAGAGCTTTTGATGAAGGAAATAATCTCACTAATGCACATTTAAAATGACCTTACAAAATGTTATATGCAGAGACATTAAAAATTCCCAAAGCAGCTAATAACAAAGTACACAGTTGTTGGCATCCATCTTTCACAGGAGACAATGAAAAAGTCAAACTATTGGGGAGTTACAGTGCCTGCTGTAGCTGTAGAGACTGATTGGGAGAGACATGTTTTAGTACAGGTGGGGCAGAGGAAGGCTTCCAGGTTTGCTACTAAAAGTGCAAATGTCGCTTCTTCTCTCTGTGCTCCTCCCAATGGCTATTCCTTCTCTGGTACTAATCGATATAATGAGAAGACAGTACTAATCAATATAATGGGGTGAAAAATCAACGTAAAATACCATGTAATGTCAGAACCACAGAGAAAACAATAGAGCAATCAAGTACGAGCAGATTAAAAAAAACACAACAGATTGGAAGCTAGTTAAAAAAACAAATTAATATTAAAATCCAGAGCTGAAGAACTGCTCAAAATTACTTTTTGTTAGAATGTTGAGGCAACATAAGCCATATTTGGAGTATATTTTAAGACATGGCACCTTACCTTAACAGCTTATACTTCACATCCATTTTAAGAAGAAGAAACGAAATGTGGAAGGCACTGAAAACTGTTAATATACTAATTCCAGCATGCCCACAGAACCGTATATGAAGTGTGTGTTTATTCTTCCTAGGACTAGTTACCTAAAAACTCACATGCATTATTGATTTATTAATACATTTTATGAAACAGTGCACATCTATCCACATCTACAGTGCACCTCAATATCTGTGGGTAGATGGGGGGAGAGGCGGAGGAGAGTTCACATTCCAGTATGCATTAGCATTTATGAATACATTTAAACTGAAGTGTATCATAGCTTCTTCTTCAATACGCATACAATTCATGCCTTACCAGATGAAAACTAAGAATTTTCTTCGGTATTTAATATTTCAGTTCATCCAGGATCACAGCCTGAGAGGTTTTCCTATTGCATATTTCTAAAGGCTCTTCTTTGCCTTCTCTATCTAGTATTTCTCTATGCTGCCAGTAACTCAGTGAACCAAGAATTTGAACTTATGTCTCTCCAGTCTTAAGCCTTACACTATAACCGCTGCACAACAACAGATCTCATGGTTAGCATGTATGTACGGTATATAGTCAGCTCTGATCTTGTGGTGTTTGACATCATGCAGCCATGCTTGATGCCTTTCTAGTTCCTTTCCTCATCATGCTTCATTTTTCTGCTAATTTGCTTTGTGCTTGTGTGTGTTTCAGGGGCCCCCAGAAAACATATAAAACCAATTCTGCAAAGTGTGGCAACATGCCTATTTTTAACTTCACCCTTGTCATCAGAGCATGAGCCCAAAAGAGGAAATTCCTTCCTGCTCTTCATTTAAACTGTAGCAGGAAATGTATTGTTAAATAACTAACATTGTGACAGTGCACATAGGGGTCACGGTAAGAAAAGGCTTCAAATGGCTCTTCACTGCTACATTTAGCTGCTTTTCAAACACTGGATAATGTTGCTATAAGGACCAACATTGTATATGTATTCTAGCATCACCAGTTGTCAGCATATCTGTTTTTATTTTGGGAAAGTAGTCTTAAAGAGAATACATATTTTTTCAAGTGCTCAGCAGTCATCCATAGCCTGCAATGACAAGAACACAAGAACCTAAGACAAATCTGCTGAATGAGGCCAGTGGCCCACCTCGTCAAGCATCCTGTTCTAAATGTCTGTGGGAAGCCTATAAGCTGGACATGAACACAATGGTTCTCTGCCCACCTGTAATTCCCAGCAGCTGATATTCAGAGGCATGCTGCCTCTACCAGTGGAGGTAGAGCATAGCCATTATGACTAGAAGCCATGGATAGCCTTGTCCTCCTTGAATTTATCTAACCCTCTTTTACAACCATCCATGTTGATAGCATCCTACTTCCTTTCATTCTCCACTGCAGGCCCCCACCCCCTGGGTAGGGGTTCTGGGCCATCGAGAAAGTTACTCCAGTACACAAACAAGTTGAAGAGTAGATGCCACTCATGCAGTTCTGAATGTTCATCTTGGCATGCCCTAAAGTAATACACCTAACGTATATTTACAAAAAATCAGAAGATGCGCCTTGAGCCACATCATTTCATCGAGTGGTTTTCAAAAGGGAAACAGCTTCTCTGCCTGTGAAAGCCTGGACAGGTCTTTGGATTCTGGCCATTCATTTTTTATTTTGGAGACAAGTGAGGCTCTGCATCACCTTCTTACAGGTATCTCGCCCTTCGTCACGGTGTGCTTTACTGTCCTGAGAGAAATAAGTAGCTAGTATTATTTTATTTTCCATTCCCATGTCACAACACTAATGGGAATCTGATTTGGAAAGCAGGTACCCAATAGCAGAGGACATCATGCTGGGAAACAGTAATGTACTGGGCCATTGATTGCTTGGTGCTTTAGTTGTAAAGCACATAATGACTAATGCTGAGGTTTCTATTTGGATGGAAATGGTATCAACAGACAGAGGCAGCACTACCTTTAGGCAAAGGTCACATCCACACCATACGTTTAAATCACTCTTGTACCACTTTAACAGTTACGGATTTTCCCAAGGAACCCTGGGAACTCTAGTTAGATAATGGAGAGCTTCTGATGGTATGAATGTTACCATAGTGAGGCTACTATCTCAGGCAGTTGATTTCGTGTGACATGAAACACAGAAATTTGTTATTGATTGATTATTATATTGTTTCATTATTTTAATATTTCACTTTAATACATTTATATTTATTTTTCCATTTATGGATCCTTTCTTCATAGAACCCAAGGTGGTGTACATGTTGCTCCCAGGAGGTCACCCACGCAGGCACTGACCAGACCCAGACCTGCTTAGCTTCAGGAAGGTGTTAACCTCAGGCAATGTGCACCATGCCTTGGGAGTTTATGGTGTTTGCTGTCTCAACTGCCAAACTAACTTAGCTGGCTTGGGTACTTTGCTGTTCTCAGGTAGTGAAATGTAAGGTTAGGTTTTGCTTACAGTCTGGCCTTATTGCTGTAGCTAAGAGCGATCATCTGTAGTCCCAAAATTAGGCATTGGGTATTTCCCTGTCCAAATTGTACTAGCAAACTAAGTGAGTCTGTTTAGGACAGACTGTTTACTAAACAGCAAGAAAGCAATAGACACAGATTTAGTAGTAGATTTCATAGTGCCGTACTGCTGAGTAGCACTGTTAACAGCTAGATGGAAAAAAGAACTGGTGTTTGATTGGCACAGAATTACTTTTTAAGTGTCTACTTTTGAGACTTCATGACTTTATTTATTTGTTTATTAAATGTACATCCTGCTTCCCCACCAAATGGTGTTGAAAGTATTTGCTTGAATAAATCCTGGAAAATACTTGGAGGTTGTTTCTTTTAGATTTCCTGATCTGGTTAAAAAACTAGGATGCTATACATTTCAGTAATAGATTGGTGGCTAGTCCTCTGTTGAGATGGTTTGCGAATAATGGCCTAATGAGTTTTCCATTCCTAGAAAGGTTTTATGAGTCAGTGCTGTTGTAGATGCATGTATTTCTTGACACTTTCAAATAAATGACCTCCTTTGATATGAGAGCTCCTTTGATATGTCAGAGTACCAGAGAATAGCCTGAGCAATCTCCTTTTAATTAACACCTTTTTGACCTCATTTGCTAGCTCCCCACAAGGTGCCAAGAGTTCCTTTCTGGCCACATGGTGCTCATCTAATTGGTTGAGCCCACCTGTTTGTCACTCAAGCTAAACATCTCAAAGATGGAATATGATCTCCCTATTCCTTTTCACCTCTTTTGACCATCCAGGGGTTCTGTCTGCTGAATCTATGCAGAGAAGAGGATAGATGTTCAAAACTAGCCTACCCTATATGGTACCTGTAAGCACAGCTTCTGTATAGACTCTTCTTTCACCTTGCAAAATAACGTGTTTCTCCCAGCTAGGATTCATGCATCTAATTCTAAACAATTGCCAGGATTTTGTCATAGTCTTCCATTGATGTGCCATGTATTAGGATCCCATCCATGGGGCAATTGCTCCTTTTAAATTTCTTAAGGAGTTTTGCCACCTTTCTTTGAAAATTTTTGGAAGCGTTTGTTGTTCCAAATGGCAAGCCTTCAAAAGGAGTGTGATGAATGTAATCAATTTAGCACTCTGGTTTGTCAAAGGTATTTGCCAGAAATCACTTGAGGTATCCAAATTGACAAATATTTTTATTCCTGTCACTTTTGGGAAAGATACTAGTGTTGGAAGTACATATTTTTTTATTAGAGTGCGTCTTCATTCAGCTTTTAAAGATCAATACAGATCTTCTTCTTTTTTCCACCTCTCCCCCGATGACTAGGAACTTTGGTGCACACCACAAGGTAGGCTTGATTTCCTTAATTATGCCATGTTCCTCCATCCTTTCCAGGTCCATTTCCACCTTGTGGAGTAAGGGAATGGGTGTTCTGCAGGCTGTTTGCATGCTGTATGGTTTGGTGTCAGGTCTTAAAACGTCCATAGGATTTCTTTTTATTAGACCAGGGTGTCCAAACCCTCCTTAAATTTATCCCACTGTTTTGCACAGTCCCATTCTGCCGTTGCTCCACATTTGAGGAGATTATCCAGGTTTTGACTTCATATCACTTACATAGTATACACAAGCTGCTCTTCTATGCAGTTTGTTTGTACGTTAAAGCATCCAAGACAATTTAGAATACTCTCTTGTCTCTATAAAACAATCCCTGCCATATGCAGATCTCAGGAGATCCTTTGTATGTCTTTTTTGAAATAACTGTGACATCAGCTCCTGAATCTTTTTTTAAAAAATAGAAATCAGTTGTCCCAGAAATATATTCTATAGAGACCACCACTGGCATTCAAGAAAATTTGGCTGTCCGCTTGCATCATGTCGGTCAATAGCTCAGTGATAGAACATGCTTCCTAGGTTCAGTCTCCAGGTACAACTGGGAGTGACTCTTGCTTGAAATCCTAGAGTCACTGCTGGTCAGTGTAGACAATATTGAACTAAATGAACCAATGATCTGCCTCGCTGTAAGGCAGCTTCTGGTGTTCCTAACACATGATAGCAAAATGTCTTTTTTTTTTAACATTTGGAACTGTGCTCCTTTAGCTGACAAAATTCCTCTATTGTTATAAACATTTCCACATTTTTGCATGCTCTCTTAAAGGGTGGTCTTGTCTTGTCTTGTTGTGTCTGGCTACAGAATGCTTTAAAAATGGCTGGACTGCTTTCCTTTGTGCTGCTTTTGAAGAGAAATGAAGAGTGAATTTGTGGAATGGCTGCTGCTTCTAGTGTTTTGTGAAGTAGAGGTTACGTCTTCCAAGTTACATCACTCACTCCCTATCTTTGCCCTGATCTGTTTTGGGATGGGATCTGGAGTGCATTGGATTGTGACAAATCCTGAACCAAAGTGGGCTATTTAAGACAGTTCTGGGACTTATTTGAACTGAACCAAGATCTCTCCTAGGTGCCATGAACTGAAGTGGGGGCCTCCATAATGCTGTGTGATGCTTTAAAAGCTCAGATGTTAAAAAACACACAACACTACAGACAGCGTGTCTGCCAAAAATGAAACGTTTCTCCCCAAGTTTGCCATATAAGGAAAATGCCAGGGTGTGGAAAGCAGAAAGAGAGAGCTTCTTGTGTGACCAGCAGATCTGCCTTCTCAGAGGACATTATGAGCCCACTTTAAATGGACATTGGCTATGGGATACGGGGCTTTTGCCATTTGTTGCAAAATCCTTGGGGTTTCAATACACTGAGATTTCTTCAAAAGTCCTTCCCCTGGATTCACAACTGAATATGCTTCTCCCTAGCCTGGGTACAAGTCCCCTGGGACTCATGAATGTACAAAGGAGCTTAACTTTTCCTTTTACCATTGTACATTTTCAACATTTTCAAAAAAGAAATCTGCTCTTTATTTGATCTTAAATATGGTTTGAAGCAGCCTTTCTCTGCTGCTTGTCGGCTGCTGGCTCCGCACAAGTAGCAAGTTGTCTGCTTCAGTGTTTGGAAGAGATGGTTGCAATGTTCTTTCCTGCTAGTATCAGCCAGGAGCCCCCAAAGGATGACCCAAATACTCCATCACTGCACTGTCAGATGTGAACAGGAATAAATACTTAATTGTGAGTCATAGACTCCCTTGAGCTGCAGCAGCTGATTTTTGTACATGCTGTGCTTAGAACATGGGCTGTATGAAAACTCTACAAAGGCAGGAAGAATCTTTTGCCTTTCCCTGATCTAACTTACTGAGATGAGGACAGCCACAAGCTGCCATTTACCATAAGCAGGGCTGCATTTTTCTCCTGCCAATTTCCATCAAATAATCCCTATGGCTATTTTTTCAGACATTTAAATGTCTATTTGTGAAGCATCACAGTTCTGGACCACAGGTTGTGAACAAGCTGCATGCAGGATCTGCTGAAGATCAGATCTTGGTTTCTTATTCTGATTTGTTTAACAACATTAAATGAGAGTTTCCTGATTCAGATGCAATGGGTGACTCTGGTCCAAAGCAAGCCAGGATTTCTGTATCAAAGAAAGTGAGGAATATACTGCTCTGGCATGTGGTCATGCATCATAAACCGTGGTTTATGGAGCCATGGCCGAACATCTGAACAGCTACTATGTTCAATGAAGCTTACATCCAGTAAGTACCTAGGGATGGAGCTTTAATCTGGCAGATCACTATATACAAGCATTTAAATAAAAAGTAGGGTTCCCCATTTCCCTGTTGATAATGGGATTCATTAGTTTTCTCCTATCCATATTGTCATTGCCTTTTTACAGACTCTCACATGCCTAGAAATAAATGCACACATTGTTATAAATACATTTGCTATGTTTTTTTGGTGGTTGCTGTATTATATTACATCCTGTCCTCTCTGTGCAGCTCTTAAAATCCATCACCTTTTGGGATAGAAACTGCTTTATATACCATACTGTGATTTGTGCCTTTAAAATATCCGAACTCTTCTCAGAATAAATGTGTTAAGGTGGAAAACCCCCGAACAGATTTACAAAGCCTTTTCTCCTCCTGCTTCTTCTGTGTAACTGATTGTTAATCCCTTGTCCCCCTTGGCGCATATTACAGGACCTAGTTTGTTGTGCAAATATGGTAGCAATTTTATTTAACTTTGCTAATGATTTAATAATAAGAAATGAAGCAAAAAAAGGCATCAGACTCAAGGGATAAACAGAAAGCTATCCTCTTGATTCTCTTTCAGTGAACCATAATGAGGATACTGTAAAAAGCTTCAATATAGTGTGAGCTAGAATTCTTTATTTTTGATGTGAACTCTTGTAATAACCGTTATGCTTTCCGCCTCTCTAGGCCTTGCCATTTGTGGATCTCAAAGTGGATTATAAAAGAATAGTGATTTAAGGCCAGCAGATCCTCTGTGAGATAGGTAAGCATTATTATTCTCATTTTACAGATGGGGGAATCATGGACAGAGAGGTTTAGTGATGATTTCCTCCCCCAACCTCAAGACAAAGCCAGAAATAGCTCAGATATATTGTCTTCATATCTCCTGCTTTAACCACATGGCAATCCTTCTTTCCACATAACCTCTCTGACTCTATTTCCCCAACTGTAAAGTAAGGATAATAATACAGGTTCAGACAGATATTCGTGCAGGCACATTTCTTTGCCTGCTGAAAAGTGAGACATTTAGGTCTGACCCCACCTTTGAGGCTGGTCATATTCTTCCACTTGAAGTTTGGAGTGGAAAAAAGCTCTCTTAAATTTTGTGGAAAGGAATTAATTCAGCAGGATATTGGCTAACTTTTGTTGTATGGTGAATTAAGAGTTTAAAAAACGGCATAATTATTTTTTATGAGGTGATTTAGAAACGGTCAGATAGAGGCATCGTTGTACTCTGAACTGCTGAATTTCCAAAACTGGAAGAATTTAAATACAGGTGTTTGTTTGTTTTTTTAATATAAATAACTGTTCAGTATCATCCCATTGATGGCCAAACTAATGAAGCAGTGAAGGAGTTTACAACAGATGAACATGCATCATATTTTTATATAGATAAATTTAGGCAGTTAAATTTAGGCAGTTTAATCAAGATTCCAAAGAGCATTTTTACTTATATGGAAGCCACAGGCAAACAGTGAATCCTCAGAGACCAAGCAAAAAGGAAAATAAAATCCCAGCAGAAGTGTGTTATTACTCGAGGAAAAAAATCAATATTGATTAGACTCAGAAGGGACTTTTCTTACAACAGCTTATGTCTAAGAATCTCTTCTCCATGAATCCCCAAGATCTGCAGGGGTGGTGGTGTTTGTTATGATGGTTATGATGATAAAGGTAAATCAAAATCCTTAGATGAATGCCAGTTTATTCCCATTGGTCTAAATGGATTTAAATGTGCATACCTCAACTCCATTTGTTGTGTGAATCCCTCTACGCATCCTTCATTGGTTTAGTAAAACCAAATTGCTTTTTGTGTGTGTGTATGGGGATGCGGGTGGCGCTGTGGGTTAAACCACAGAGCCTAGAAACAGAAGGTCAGCGGTTCGAATCCCCACAACGGGGCGAGCTCCCGTTGCTCGGTCCCAGCTCCTGCCAACCTAGCAGTTCGAAAGCACGTCAAAGTGCAAGTAGATAAATATGTACCGCTCCGGCGGGAAGGTAAACAGTGTTTCCGTGCGCTGCTCTGATTCTCCAGAAGCGGCTTAGTCATGCTGGCCACATGACCCGGAAGCTGTATGCCGGCTCCCTCGGCCAATAAAGCGAGATGAGTGCCGCAACCCCAGAGTCGGTCACGACTGGACCTAATTGTCAGGGGTCCCTTTACCTTTACCTTTTTATGGCTCCGACTGCCAAAACACTACAATATTTAGCAGTTGTTGCCTATGAATACATGCAGCAACTAAATGAATGGTAAACATCATGTTTCCTGGAACCCAGTTGGTTTTGAGATAGTGACAATATTCAAAATGTATGCCATTGACATCTATTTCTTGCAATTGTAAGGAAATACTGGTTAGTTGTTTTATTGTGATTTGACATTTTCAAACTATTTGTAATAATATTTCTTTTTCAAAGATTTTTGTGCAGATGCTTACATCTATACGGTAATCATTCATTAACTGATGAAAAGCAAAGTGATATATTGAACACACTAAGTATTACATTTCATGTGGTTGTAGTTAGCAATGTGCAAGCTTCCCCAGACTTAGTTCAATCTGGATTTCACTAAAACACCTTAATTTGGACTTCATTACCATCAGGACCCAGGATGTTCTCTGCCACTAACCCCTACCCAGACAGCCTTTGCTCTTGTCTCTTCCCTTTCCAAACCAAACCTGCATAGTATTGCAGGATGGGTGTGCAGACATGGCCAGGTGCATTCATTACACTTCTGCTAAAGATACAGAGGCAATTACATCTCCCTTGCTTCCTGGTGGCTGTAGGTGCATTAACCATTAAGGCCAACATGGAGACTCAGATGCAGTTCCTTCCCTGCATTATTTGGTAAGCTTGGTTAGAGAAAGAAATGGGCAGCAGTTATTGGCTTAAAAGATGACAGCCAAGCCCATTATGAGCTAAGTGCAAACTTCAGGTGGTGGTGCAGTGTTGGCTTGGTTTGTTATTGGCATTAGATGTCCAAAACTGGGAGAACTGATTCCCAACTCCCTTTCCCCATTTATGACCTTTTGGCAGCATCACTAATTGAAACTAACATTTCCCCCATATCTTACATTTACTTTTATTTGTTTTATTTATTTAATTTGTATACCACCCTTCATCTGAGTATCTCAGGGTGGTTCACAGCAAAAACATGCAAGATGAAAACACATGTGTAGCTTGTAATTGTCTTTAATCAGATTTATACAGATACTGGTGATTCACATAATTAATTAAGACCACATAAGTAATTAAGAACATTCACGTAATTAAGACCATATCGTTTTACTCTGCCGCTACTACCAGGATGCTCGTGGAAAGATTATTGCCACATTGCTTAGAAGACTGTCCAGGAGTTCTAATTTGGAATTGTCTAGTTTACTTCTAGAAGATGGAAAACCAGAGATTACAATATTAGTCACAAAATTTTGCACGTCAGCCTATAAAATCAGTCACTTTTACCTACTGGATATATATAGACTTCTTATCTCTCTTTTAAATTATTAAGCCTTCAGTTTTACTTACTTACCTTTTTGTTTTACTTTATTTTATCCCTATTGGTACTTGTAGTATTAAATATAGTATGCTGGTTTTTAACTAAATAATATTTTTTTTGTCTCTCTCTCTGTCTTTGATAATAAATCAGATACTGTTTCACACTGTCAGGATTCATAGAGTTTCTGAATCTTTAGAGATTCTCCCAGTTGTGGGGGAGCTGTTTATTTATAAGCAGCTCTTGCAGACTGGCAAAATGTTCAAATGCCCTAACCTTGTGGGCTGGGTTCAACTACATGAGACTTTCAGCCCGTCTCTTCTTCCATAATACCAATTTTCATTGGAAAGACCCATACAATCAGGCCCCATCCATATGGTCAGGCTGGTTTCCAGAAGCTTTTTTAATCATTCTCTGAACCATACAGAACTCCACCCCCATCTCTTCAAGTAATACTGACCCTGCTGTTTGTCCACATGATCATTTTAACATTATCTTCATCCCATGATGTCAAGGGAGTGTTCTTGTTGGGATTATTGTCTGTCTTCCAACTCTACACAAGCATTGTTTTATAACAGGGATAGAGAACCTATAGCTGCCATCAGCTCCAGTCTGCATGCCCAGTGCTCAGGGATGATGTGACTTCAGCAATATTTGTAGAGTTGCAGTCTTCACCCTTGGATTACATGCTAACTTTGTTAAATTCCAGAGGATTAAGTGAGTTCAGGAATTGTTGTCCCAGGATCTGATCAAGTAGGCCTATAGTCTGTTAGTTTAATAACTGCATACTCTAATGAGTGTTTAAATTGGTTTTTAATTGATAGTGCCCCCTGGAAAGGGATATTTAGCATTGTCATGACGCTGCTGTAATGAAATTGTGTGAATAGAGAGATAGATAGATAGATAGATAGATAGAGATAGATAGATAGATAGATAGAGATAAAGCTTGATTTGGTCAGTGCTTTATAAGTGGCTTCCCCAACAGCAAATAGTTGTCCAGTTTGCACATAACACTAAGCAAAACCATAACTTAGCACAAGTGAGTCTTCCAGAAAGAAGATCAAACCGTGTTGCTCTTCCTCTTGTCCTGCTGCCACTGTGCTTCCATAAACTAAACCATCCCATCCAAACCCAAGATCATGGTTTGTCTCCCCAAGACAAATTAAGAGAGGTAAGCCATAAAACAAACCTTGGTTACAGCTTGTGGTTTGTTTGGAATGAGGCTTCACAATGACTTAGCTTTACAGCAGCAGCTGAACTAGATGAGGATAAAAGTGGCCACAAGGAAAGTTGTACAGAGACTGGATCAAAGCCTCTGTGCTATTTATTTGTGAGGGCCTCTTGGTTTTGTTTTGTTTTTTTTAATCTTAAAAGCAGCCAGGGTGGTAAATCAGTGCAGGGGTGCAGTTTCCAGCGAGATAGCTGTTAATGTGTTGCAACATAAACAACAGGGTCTTGCGGTACTTTAAAAACTGCCAAATTAATTACAGCACAAGTTTTCATGAAGTAGAGTCCACTTCATCAGACAAGGTGAATGGTAATCCTTAAATGCTTATGCCATAATTAGTATCAGTCTTTGACATGGCAGAAGAGACTTCGTTGTTCAGGGCTACATCAGCTTTTAGAACTTGTGTTGTTTTCCCAATATAATGCACCCTACAAGCTGCCAATTTCCCCAATGGGGAAAAGACATGGAACCTGTTACGTGTCATTCCAGGGGGCACAATATGAGCTTTAGGAAGCAAACATCGAGGGACGCAGGTGGCACTGTGGTCTAAACCACAGAGCCCAGAGCTTGCCGATCAGAAGGTTGGCAGTTTGAATCCCTATGATGGGGTGAGCTCCCATTGTTTGGTCCCAGCTCCTGCCCACCTAGCAGTTAGAAAGCACATCAAAGTGTAAGTAGATAAATAGGTATCATTGCAGCAGGAAGGTAAACAGTGTTTCCGTGCACTGCTCTGGTTCGCCAGAAGCGGCTTAGTCATGCTGGCCACATGACCCGGAAGCTGTTTGCGGACAAACGCCGGCTCCCTCGGCCTATAGAGCAAGAGAGATGAGCGCGCAACCCCAGAGTCGTCTGCAACTGGACCTAATGGTCAGGGGTACCTTTACATTTACCTTTAAGCAAACATCTGGAGGAATGGTTTCGCACCTCCAGTTCCCAATGCCCTGATTCTTTTTCTCCTGCATTGGTATTTTTAATAGTTTTTGTTAAAAAAATAGAGATCATGGATTTTCTCCTGTTTTATTTTGCTCAGATCAGATATTATGGGTTACATCCTTCCCTGGCTCTCCTCTTCTGGAGGGGGAAGGAATTTTTTTTTGCTAATTTCCCTTCTCAGGCCCCTGCACTCATACCCCCAAAACCCTGCTACAAAGACTGTAGACCAGAGACCAACTGGCACAGTGTGAGGTAGGATGGAGAAGAGGGAAATTGGAAAAATCACTTTCTATATCTGGCCTTTCCAGGATCAAAGTGCTTTCCATGAGGTGTGAGTGAGGGGTTGGGGGACTACAACTGGACACAACAATAACATCCACTGACAACTTGATTTATTGATGTCTCTGCTTCTGCAAATACATGATTTGCATGTATTAATTCAGCTGTGGGTTATGAAAACACATTTTACTTTGATCCCAAAACCTCCATCACACAAACCACCTAAACAACAGATTCTCCATATGGCTTTGGCTACTGTGATGTCAACACTAGCTGTAGGATGTTGCAAAAAGTAACACTTCAAGAAAATAGGCATTCTCTTTCTTTTTTAAAATGTAAAGTAGAGCCACACTAAAGAGGAAACAGTATCTCAGTTCGCTTCATACTTTGTATTCCAATACATAATGAACAGAGTCTACATTCAGTTTTCCAATTCTAGTAGCTTACCACATAGTACTGAAATCCAAACTGCAGTTTACAGTTCTGCAAGTTCAGTGGGGTCTTTTCTCTTTGTTTGAGCAACTGATCCTCACACCATATCACAAACTCCTTTTAAAACTCCCCTTACTTTCAAAACTTGCTACCATGTGGGATGGAGGACTGTTGCTAATAGGGTTGTCCTCATAGAACTGATTTCATTGGATTCTAGGCAGTTAGTATCATCATGTATTTTGTTCATTTAAAATTCAATATAAAATGTTTAAACAATGCCTTTTTGAAAGCCTAATGGTGTCTCCACTACATCCAATCATGCCTTCCAAAATAGCCAGAAAGCTCCTGTTGAAGGAAGGGAATCTTCATCCTATTGCTTTTCAGTGGAAGAGTTTCATTCTTTCACCTGCAGTCCATAAAGTATCAAGTTTATCAAGTGATAAACCTTGATAGAGCATCCTATATAAGTTTAAGAGTTTCCTGGTTTTCGTTGTTTATTTTAGTTTTTATTTGGATTGTGTTTATTGTTAGTTTACAATAGGATAACATCAAAATATATTGTAAGCCTTTTGGGGGAAAGGATGTATGTAAATTTGTTGCTTATTTTTAATAAATAAAAATATGCATATATGTATTTTTTTATACTGCCTTTCAGTAAAAATAAATAAATGCATATATGTAATTTTTTTATACTGCCCTTCAGTAAAAAATAATCACAGGCTACATAAACGTAAAATGCAAATAAAGACATAGGTAAAATAAATAAACAAGTATAAACATAATAGATACTAAAGCTGCATATTCTTTGGACTAAATATTATTCCAACCTTTTAGTGTGTTTTGTATAATTTTGCCATAGTTTCTTTTAAAATTATTGATAGGATTATATTTTATTATTATTATTATTATTACATTTTATTACCTGCCTTTCACCCCAAGGTCCCAGGGTGGGTTACAACAATTAAAACACAATATCAAAATGTGTTTGAAACAAGTTAGGGTTCAAAGCAATTTAGGTTTAAAACAAACGAGTGTTCAACAATATTTCTGAAAAAAGTTATAACTTATTGCCATGTAGCAATGGTTCATTAAAGCAGTTTTAGGGATTTCTTTGTATTTCCTTCCCTCATAATGAAGCTGGTTTTTTTTTAACCCACACCTTATAATCTGAAGACACAGAAACCTTGGAGGTTAAATTTCACCCCATAAAACATGTTAATGATGATTCTTCCATGTGGCCTTTGATAGTTTGATGGCAAACCATGTATTGACACAAGTGTAATATTTTCAAAAAGAACACTTCAAGAGAGCAAGTTTCTTTCTCATCTTAGCTGCAGGCATGCGACTCAAATGAGAATTTGATTTGGTGTCTTTTCTGAATGCCGCTACAAATTGTTTGTTACCTTTGCTCCCAATTACAGTCAAAATAGCTGATGTCTGGTGCTAACAATACACGGCCAGCATAGCTGGCAGATTTGGATACCCGTCTGCTAATGCGCTGGCCCTTTTCACCTACAAAAAAGAAGGTCAATTTTCAGTATGACAGTAAATGCCTGGATTTGAATGGTGGGATTAGTGCAACATATTTTCGTTTTCTGTCAGTCCCAGAAAATACATATATCTGTTGGTGACTACGATAATGGTTCAGTTAGAAAGGGAAGGAAAAACCAGTTTAAGATTGTTGTGGGATCTTTAGCTTTAGCAAATAGGAGAAAGGAGAAAGCAAATTGGTTTCAAAGTGCTACTTTTATAATGCTATATTGAAGTGAAAGTGTGCTTCTTCATCATCCAAAATGTACAAAAAGCATTACTGACTCCAAGTACCTGAGATAGCAGTTCTTGGAAAAGTTTGACTCATAAATCTAGAGAACTGCTATTGGTTAGCCAGCCAGTCCTGGGTCCAGTGTAGGTTCCTGTACCTGATATCCTATACCTGATATCTCTTGAATTGGTGTTTTCATTGAAATTTTTTTTAGTGTCTTCAAGGTGAATGTGGTTGATGTACAGTGGAACCTCGTATTACGTACCATCCTTCTTGCAAACGCTTGCGGGTTACGAGCTCCTCTAACCTGGAAGTAGATGCTCCCAGTTGCAAACTTTGCCCCAGGATGCGAGCGGAAGTCATGCGCCAGCAGCGCGCCAGCAGTGGGAAGCACCATTAGCGAAAGCGTGCCTCATATTATGAGCAATTTCGGCTTAAGAACAGACCTCTGGAATGAATTAAGTTCGGAACCAGAGATACCACTGTAAAAGCTTTCTCTAGCCTGGTTTGCACATAATGCTAAACTTTGTTTCTTTAAACTATGGTTTGTTTGATTGTCCAGCAACTTAACTAGGGTTTCTTTACTGTGAACAAACCACAGTATGAAGCCATGGTTTGTTGCTGGCATACAGACCGTAGTTTGCTTTAACTATTTCTTGGTGTTTTGTGCAAACCCAGTACACATCCTTAATCATAGTATGCTACACCACCCCATCCCAGACATGTAATCAAGCTATAAAGGCATGAAACAAGAGGATCTGGAATACAATAATGCAATCTTGGGATAAACAAGAGCATTATATGTGAACCAGGCCACTCTCCCCTTGTCTGTATGGTGTGCAATTTTGGCACTACCAGCTCTGAATATGATAGATTGATGAGGCAAGCTGCTCTAGAAATAGTAGAACTATCATGCAGAAATAGATTGTGATTGGAACAATACATTGTATAGATTGTCCAAGTTCTTCAGTCTAGGTTACAATTATACATAGGTAGCTATAACCAGGGCTACCAGAGAAGTCATAACAAGCAGTTGGGTTTCAGTAATGTAAAATCACAGTAATTCTCCTCTCCTAAATCTAAAATTCAGCATGATCTGATACAGATCAAGAAATTTGTGATGCTTCAATATACTTGGGAGCAAACCCCCATGGAAATTGGACAGAATTTACCTAGATTTATGCTGGATGACCTGTTGATTTCAGTGAGGAAGAAAGCACATGCTCAAATATCTTCAGTTTTACAAATGGGACTTTAAAACACTGTAGTTTTGCTAAACCACATCCACTTTGTTGTAACAACTTTACTATTTGCCTATCAAAATGGAAAACTACTGAAAGAGAACATTAAAGCCCAGTTATCACTGCTACCTATGGAGTACTGAACTCTGCCCACTGCTGTTTCTTCTATTTAATATAGAGCACCAGCTATGTGCTAACATGCCACAGAATTATTCTTTGTTTTCTCAGAAGTTTCTTTCTTTCCCCCCACAGCACGGAAAAGGATATGCTAGTCAATTCTACGGGACTTACCTGAAGCAGCATGATTTGCACAAAAGTCGACCAACAAAAGCATCAACTTTTCAACGTCATTATCTTGGCCATCCGATTCTGTGTAAAACTGAAGATTTACTGTGCTGTTGGAGACATCTTGGCCAATAATAGGACCTAATTGCTCTCAGCAGGCCTGAGAAATGAGTTGAAATGTATGGAACTGTAGAAACTTCAAGGGGCAACTGACTTTGCCTCCCTGATCAGTGTGTGCCTGTTTACAGCACTATATCGCTCTCTGTTTCTCTTTCTCTCTCCAAAATGTCACTGAGCCCTTTAGATGTTTATATTCGCCACAAGAAGCCAATCGTACAGATTTTAAAAAAGGAAACGTGCATTATAAATGCAATATCACTGTTTTAAACTTGACTGTTTTATATTATTTTTGTGTGATCAAGTGTCCCCCAGACTATTCCAACTTTACAAAAGAAATTGTGAATCATGTTCTTTTCACCTGTGGGTCATGGAAATGTTGTTAATCTGCAGACCCACAAAATATCAAAGACATTCTGTAGTTTATACACCGTGTTGCAAAGTGTTTACTGTACTATTTCAAAGCTTCTAAATAAATATAAAATATATATATTATATTACATATAATTTTCCGGGAAACGTGGTACCATTTAGTTGATTTTTAAATGAATTCATACAATCCGCACCATACACTAAAGCGAGAAGGTAATTCAGGGTCCTTAAATTATCCTTGCCTAAAAATAAAATAAATCTTTAATAATACTTCCCAAATTTTTGTACTTTGGTCAATCCTGTTTGTCCTTGTTAAAAAAAAAAAAAAAGCTGTAAGCAACAACATTTTTTTTCTGAAAGTTGTACTGAATTTTCAATGCCAAAGATACAGCTGTCAATAATTATGAAAATGAGCACTGACTATGTACTATCGAAGTATATATATCAACCTCCATTATTTTGATTCTATTTCTATGGTTTTTAATTTGGAATCAAAAAACTTTTTATAAAGGCTCTATAAACTCACATGTATATGTTGTTAAAGAGTACACTGGGTGTCTGTACATTTTGCAATGTAAGATATGATGTTAAGTGAAGATAACTATTTTAAGGCAATCTCCCCCTACACACATGCGCCACTAGACTCATAGCTGACAACATATATCATCGTTTAACCTTGTTTTGCACAAATACATCTTTTCATGCTGACTTGCAGTGGTTTTCAAAGAAAGACCAACCACAAAGTCATACATGTTGCCAAGCCATTAATTTGATTAATTTCTCTTTAACATAAAAGTGATTTGAAGTTAGGAATAGTCAGAACCAGCTTCAGTGGTGAGCAGGTTAGTCCTGCCTGTGTTAACATTTTGTAGTTTGGATGGTTTGAAGCGTCTCAGAAAGGATATTTTTATCAGAAAAAGAATAAATTGTCAAAAATTCAAAATGCTGCAAAGTAAAGGCTTCCTTTACTTTCATGGCCTCTGATTACAAGTACCATTGAAAAAAGAAAGGTCAAATATAGTGAGGTTTTTCATTTGTTCTTTCTGTCGTAATGCTACTGTCTTTTTCTTTCTCTCTGATGACTACCTGTCAAATGTTCAGGAAAACAACAACCATAAAAGCATGTCTTGTGTTTCAGTTGGAGGTAATGGATGCAGTGCCCTTTTGAATGAAGGATAAGAGTCCACTCTTTTTATTTTGGAAGCTTTGGGTTCATACCCTAGGACCATAAAATTGCTTCCTTGCTGACAATGAATTCTGTTCACAGGGTATATATGACTCGGTATAAGTAAGGGTGGGGGGGAGTGAAAATACTATTACACTATTATTATTATTATTATTATTATTATTATTATTATTATTGAGTCTGTGTATACAGCAATGCACACATGAAGCTTATGAAGCTTCCCTGCAGGCAGACTTCCTCATTCACTTCTGTGGTGGGGGTAACTGTTTGCAAGCATATCTTTGTACTTCCAGGTGTGTAAGTGCATCAGAGTCCCAATAGCTGCAAATTGTTGCAGAGCAGACTGACACCAGTAGTAGCTACAAGAATTTATTCTGCCAATTATTTTCTGCCGTATTCCCATTGTGTGAATGGGAACTGTGTGTACAAAAGTTGTTGACTTATAAGCAATGTTAGTTTCCAAACTCGTAACGAAACAAAACAAAATATTCCTGCTAAATACTTTTAGTGCATATTTCTAAATTATTTATATATTGACAGGGATTTCTTGGGATCCATTTAACAATGTGTATTATATATGAATCACAGAAGAAGAAGAAAGCACACAAATTAACTATTAATTTGAGCAAACACAGCCGTAAATTCTTCTTTAGCTTTAGGTAATGGGAGTTCTGGTCACCTATATGCCTTGTTAATTTTTATGGTGGGGAGGGGGGAATGGGCTATTAATAATGAAATGTGTGAAGAATATTTCATTTGAAGAAATCTGTCAACTTGAGCGTGGTTTTAAGGCAAGAAATGGAATGCCCCTCCTGGAACTGGTTTTGCTTTATTTTTATAGCCTCTCTATACAGAGGTGTATACTGTAAATTAGGGTTGTTTCTAGTCCTGTGGAGAAAAAAATATCACTTTTTCTTTTTCTTTTTTATAGACTATTAAAGGTGTTTTTATTTACTGAAAATCTCCCTCACATTTTGCCCGCAACTTTTTTGGGGAAAGTATTCATAATGCTGTTATTTCATCTGTCTTTTCTAGTGCATTTATTCCACCTCTCTCTATAATGGATTATGAGTAGAAGACATGGGCATGCATCAATTCATTTCATGCTTTCCCTTTCCTTATCCTCCTGTTTCTGTATATGCTCAATGCAACTGAGGTCAGTGGGAGACTTGTGCATGGAAACATGATCAAGCTGGGCTTTTAGATGCCTAAACAGAAGATGCTAACTACTACAAAAGGGAATGGTTCAAGGACAACTTCCTTCCCCAACCTGGTTGCCTACAGATGTTTTGGCCTAGGACTCCCATCAGCTCAAGCCAGCATGACCAATGGTCATTCATGGAAGATAAGTCTTGTAGTCCAACAGTGACTGGAGGGCATCTGGTTGTGGGGTAGCCTGATCTACTACTGTCAGTGATTACGTTTTGTTACTACAAGGTGTCTTCTGGTATGTGTCCCTAGCAAAGCGTTTTCTGGTATTTGTGGCCTGGTGGAAACCCAACCTATGTTTTTAAAAACCAGTAGCACATTATGCAAGTGAAACAATTCACCACATGGACTGATGTGGGAAAACCCCTTCATTTTGAAGAAACAATTTTAGAGAAATTTGACCTGCTGGAGAAATTAAGCATATTCCTCCTGCTCAGCAGCAGCCAATGAGGTGACTTCCAGATCTATGGGATTTCAGCTCTAATAATTCTTGACCATTGGCTGCACAGGTTGGGTTAGAAGGAAGTCGTAGTCCAATTTCATCAGCACAGCATCATGCTGGCCACCTCTGCTGTAGCTATTGCATAGACAAGAGTGTAAAATATTCAAATAGCTTAAATACTAAGTTTGTTGACTTGATGCACTTTTGCTGTAGGCATAAAGGCAATTTGGATTCCCCCCCCCCCTGATTTCCTTGTGAACCATCAAATGTGGAATTTGACTTTCTTTCAAGACTCCTAATTCTCTGCACTTTTACTCATCCCAAGACTCTTGGGGAAACATTCACAGCAGCTTCCAATACAGTATGAGAAGTTGCTGTGAAAGATATAGAAGTTTCAGGTGTGATCCTAAAGAAGTTATCCAACACAACTAAAACAAACATAATCTGCTTAGAGAGAATGGATCCTTCTAGCTTTCTGCATGCCAAATGCCTGCACAGGTATAGAATATCTGACGTGGTACAAATGCAGTTCTGCAGCTGAAGCTAAGCAGGTTTAAGACTTGTAAGCTGCCTGATGGAAACCACCCAAGTACAAGAGAAAAGTATGTTGTGGACTCTTTGAAGGAACTACTGGATGTCAGTTTCTCAGGCATGGTAGACTTGTAGCAATGCAGCCTCGGGGGGGGGGGGGCGGGATTGGAAATGACAACATGCAGCTACTTTTAGAATAGTTTGCATCCACTTATTAGATAGCATAAGGTGTGTGTGTGTGTGTGGTTTGGATTTTTCATCAAAATTATATGAATGGGCCCCAAATCCCATAACAGAAGGGTGGTTTTAAAAGCCAATATATTTTATTTTGTCTTGTTTTTACTTTGAGGATCTTTCCCTAAAGTAAAAATAAACAATTTAAACAATTCCTTGCGTTTCTGAACGATGTTTAAGTTTTCCAATATTGATGAAGTATGTAAAATGGCATTTAGTATTTCAGCCCCAGATTCACAGAGCTGCATATGGCACAGAACCTCAGCTTCCTCCTTTCAACAGCAAGCCCCTGATAGGATCTGCATTTGATCTGATCTGCATTGTCCAGCAAGATTCTCCTGCACCTTGCCAGAAATTTCACAGAAGCCTCCAGTGCAATGTGAGGAGATTTCAGCTGTGAAAAATTGAGCAGGTCCAGGTTTAAAGCTTGAGTAGATTGCCTTGAGCCTGGCCAACACAATTAAATTATAATTGCTCTTGGTCATGTCACAGAGATTGTAAACAGATGCAGCCTGACATGTTAGGAACCCTGGAAAGCTGCCTTATAATGAATCAGATCATTAGTCCATCTAGCTCAATGTTGTCTACACTGACTTGCAGTGGCTCTCCAGGTTTTCATCCTTTCCAAGCCCTACTTGAGATACCAGGTAAAGACCCTTGGACCTTTAGCTTTCAAAGCCTCTGCTGTTAACACGGAGCTGTGGTCATTCACCGTAATTTTAAGTCAGTAGCAAGAGTTCTCATTGCAACATTTTCCAAACTATACTTTCTTTGCATTTTTTAAAAACTTCGTTTAATATCATGGTTTTAATGTCCAACAAATAGTTCAAAGGTCCAACAAATAGATGGAAAACAAGATTTAGCCCTTTTATGTTACGTAGCTTAAGCTGCAACTGCAACCTCAATTAATGGAGAACAATCCAACCACCATCACCACCGCTTATGCCAGGATTGGGTTGAGTAGAGGCAAGTTGGCTTCCAGATCTGTGGGCAGGCAGCACCCCTACCAGTGGAAACCAGTGAAGAGGCCCCAAATGGGGCATTCTGGGGCAGGGAAGGGACTGAGCTGGCTGAGGACCTGCTGACTCCCAAGCCGGTCTTGCAGCTTTGCAAACTGACATTGGGCCCAGTCTGGACCCGATGGTCCTGCCTCACATGTTCCATTGCGGCTCCCATAAGTAGAGTTGCCACATGTCTTGTATAATACAGGGTAGTCCCATATTTCAATGTAAAATGCTGTGTCCTGTATTGATACAGATTTGTCCTGTATTTCAAGTCTCTTTCTCTGCCCAGTTAAGGATCCTCTCCAAATGCATGTGTTTGAAAACGTGTGTGAAAGGTCATGTCTTTAAGCTCTGGGTAGTCGAGCACAGACAGATTTACAAATTCATGTTTATGTGCGCATGTGTGCATGCGTGTGTGACAAATTCCAGAGGAGCCATCCTATTAGGCTGCAATAGATCTTAATGGATTGCTTTGAAGCCACCTCAGCACTAGAAGAAAAAAAGATGTCCCGCCCTGTATTTTGCCAGAAGAAAGATGGCAACCATAGAATCATAGAATCATAGAGTTGGAAGAGACCACAAGGGCCATCGAGTCCAACCCCCTGCCAAGCAGGAAACACCATCAGAGCACTCCTGACATATGGTTGTCAAGCCTCTGCTTAAAGACCTCCAAAGAAGGAGACTCCACCACACTCCTTGGCAGCAAATTCCACTGTCGAACAGCTCTTACTGTCAGGAAGTTCTTCCTAATGTTTAGGTGGAATCTTCTTTCTTGTAGTTTGGATCCATTGCTCCATGTCCACTTCTCTGGAG